GCATGAGTATCTGACCAGTATCCGTAATGCTGGCGAAAACCTGCTCTCGCTGGTCAGCGACGTTCTGGATTTCTCGAAAATTGAAGCCGGCAAATTAACACTGGAAGAACGCCCTTTCCGTCTTGCTGAAACCCTAAATGAAGTAGAACGTCTTTTCCGCACTGATGTCAGGCGCAAAGGTTTGACGCTGACGGTCAAAGACGACACTCAGCAACATCCTGAATTCCCTGCAAACGGACACCTGATTGGCGACTCTATGCGCCTGCAACAGGTGTTCGTGAACCTGATTGGTAATGCGGTTAAGTTCACCGAGAGCGGCGGCATTGGGATAAGTGCAGAAGTCACAGACCACAATGGCGATATGCTGTCACTTCTGTTTAGCGTCGCGGATACCGGCATTGGTATAGAGCCTGACCAGATCGGTCGATTATTCGGCTCATTTGAACAAGCAGAATCTTCCACAACACGTCGCTACGGCGGCACCGGGCTGGGGTTGACCATCTGCCGACGTCTGGTCGAGGTAATGGGCGGCGAAATCAGCGTCACCTCCACACCCAGTGAAGGCAGTCTGTTTTCTTTTACCATCAAGGCGCGCCGACCCGCAGACCATGAACTCGATCAGGGCAGCACAACAAAACGCAAAGCCAGCGCTTCGGCGATCCTGAACAATCGTCGAATCCTTGTGGCAGAAGATAACCCCATCAACCAGCAGCTCGCCCTGGAATTCCTGCAAAGGTCAGGCGCCAAGGTGGACATTGCAGAAACCGGGCGGGAAGCCATCAGCGCTGCAGTTGAAGGCCAATATGATGCGATTCTGATGGACATTCACATGCCACATATCGATGGCCTGGAAGCAACAGCCACCATCAGAGCCCAGGGTCTGACGATGCCGATCATTGCCGTTTCCGCAGATGCTTTAAGTGAGCGCAAGACGGCTGCGCTGGAGGCCGGTTGTAATTCTTACGTCACAAAACCCATCGACTTTGAAAGTCTGTTAAGCGCGTTAGAAGACGTGTTACCTGAATCGGAACAAGTGCTGCGGCGTAGAGCCACTGATCAGGCAAAATCAGCGCAGGCTGCTGCAGACCAGGTGGTCCAGAACCAACAAATTGCCGCTGCCGCCGAAAAAGAGAGCGCGGAAGAGATCAGTGCAGGCGACCTGCCGTTCGATTTACACCGGGTTGCAGGCATCGATCTGGGCGAGGCGATTAAAAATCACAATGGCAATGTGCGTTTAATGACAAAGCTGATGGGCGACTTTGGTCATTACTACGGCGATGCAGGGCCTAAAATACGCGAGCACATAAGCAACAAAGACTATGAAGATGCGGAGCGCCTTGCGCACAACCTGCACGGCGTAGCTGGCAGCTTTGGTGCTGCCCGACTTAAAGATGCGTCCAAGACGCTGGAATTAGCGCTGGTGAAAGGTGAAACGAAAAACCTGCTGGGCTTAGCTCAGAGTTTCGAAGTGGCTTTAGCCGAGGTACTGGAATCTGCAGAAGCACTGGCCAGTAACGAAATCCGCTTTCGCGCGTCAGACTTTTCCGCCGATGGCCGCAAAAAAACTGACAATCCCACTTAGCTGGACAGTTGGGTCACAGGAATCTGCGCGTTATGCTTAGCGTCCGCAGTCAGGTTCACAAAATCAAATAGGTTGTGGTCGGCAAGATGTGTCGGCGCCACATGACCAATGCTGCGTGCAATATTCTCAACCCTGCCCGGCTGCTCCCGATCCCATTGCAAGAGCATCTGCTTGATGGTCTGGCGCTGCAGATTTTCCTGCGAACCGCATAGATTACAGGGAATGATCGGGTAAGCTGCATATTCTGACCACTGCGACAGCAGATGTTCCCGCGCGTAATAAAGCGGACGGATCAGAATATTTTTACCATCATCACTTTTCAGTTTCGCGGGCATGGCTTTCATCCGCCCACCAAAGAACATGTTCAAGAACAAGGTTTCAACCACGTCATCCAGGTGATGACCCAGAGCAATTTTATTGGCGCCTATTTTCTGTGCATGACTGTAAAGGATCCCCCGCCGAAGCCGGGAACAGACCGGACAGGTGGTTTTACCTTCCGGGGTCAGACGCTGCACGATACTGTAGGTATCCTCCTGCAGGATCTCGAAATCGACACCTTTGCTCGACAAATACTCAGGCAGGACGTGCTCGGGAAATCCCGGTTGTTTCTGATCCAGATTCACCGCGACCAGAGAAAAATCAATCGGCGCGTGTTGTTGCAGACTGATCAGAAAATCCAACAACGCGTAACTGTCTTTGCCGCCGGACAGGCAGACCATCACTTTGTCACCGGGATCAATCAGATTGAAGTCGGTCACTGCCTGGCCTACCAGCCGGCGCAACTTCTTGTGACATTTATTTTTTTCATAAACGCTTTTACGTGGATCACGCGACCGGGCGCTGGATTCTGACTTGGCATCATAAATTGATACGGACAACTTGGCTTTCTCAAAGGCTGGGGCGTGATTTGTACCAGAAGTGCATGCACGGCACCAGTGAAGGTGGCGTACCGGCGGAATCAGCGTCGTTGGACCCGCTGGATCAGGAAGCGTCAGCCACGGTTTTTGTGCTGGCGCTTTGGATTTCAGGCTGGGGGTTTTTGAACGCCTGGACAAAGGCTTCAAACTGATCTGCCGGCAGCGGCTTCGAATAATAGTAACCCTGTACATAGTCACAGCCGATACGCTTCAAGCGTTCTAACTGGTCAGCTTCTTCAACCCCTTCCGCCACCACTTTCATGCCCAGAATCCGTCCCATGGCAACAATGGAGGCCACGAGTCCGAGATCACGGGCATTGTCGATGCCATCGATAAAGCTTTTATCCACTTTGAGCACATCGAACTCGTAATCGCGCAGGTAACCCACCGACGAGTAACCCGTACCAAAATCATCCAAAGCGAGGTGGACGTTAATATCACGCAACCCCGCCAGGAACTGCAACGCATTACCTTCATTCTGTACCAGGGCGGATTCCGTCAACTCAACCGTTATCTGATCCGAACATTCAAGCGCCAGGGCTGCAAGCAACTCGTTTACATCCCCTTCATCAACCAGTTGGCGAGCGCTGACATTCAACGAAACACGCAGGTCCGGGATGGTGGTTTGCCAGATTTTAAGATGACGCTGAACTTCTGCTACCACCCATCGACCAATATCAACAATCAGGCCAGTGGCCTCGGCGACAGGAATAAACTCGAAAGGAGAAGTCATACCAAGCACAGGACTACGCCAGCGCAGCAACGCCTCCGCGCCATATATTTCCTGCTTGGAAATATCCACAACCGGCTGAAAGTGCAGCTCAAACTCCTGTCCAGCTATCGCTTTGCGCAGATTACTTTCCAGCTCAAATCGTCGAGCGGCCACAACATTCATCTGTTCTTCAAAAAACTTCAGCTGATTACCGCCTCTGGCTTTGGCGTCCAGTCGTGCTGCGTCTGCTTTCTGTAACAGCTCACCTGCGGTTGCGCCATCGTCAGGAAAAATCGTCACGCCGCAGCTGCTGGTGATAAAAAGCTCACCTTCTTCTGCTGCAAAGGGCGCCGTAAAGGTTTCGACCACGTTACGTGCTAACCGCTCAGCTTCAGCGATGTCATTAATGTCTGTTGCGGCGATAATGAACAGGTCGCCCCCCGTACGGGCAACGGTATCCGACTCTCTAGCGCACAGGGCAATACGATGTGCCGCTTCAATCAATATCCGATCCGCACCGGCATGCCCCAGCGAATCGTTCACGTTCTTGAAATTATCCAGGTCTACACTGATCAGCGCGCCGCGCTTGCCTTCCTGCAGCGCCCGACCGAGCCGGTCATGCAACAGGTTTGCATTGGGTAATTTGGTCAAATTATCGTGGTGCGCCTGCCACAGCATGAGTCGCTGCTCAGCATCCGAGTGAGCAGCTTCCATGGACAGGGTCAGATACCCCTGCACGTTTGCGGCAGCGTCAGTCAGGCCGATACGCATAACCTTTTCTGCATGCGCGCTGCCGTCTTTACAGCGCATACGATATTCACCGGTCCAACTGCCTTTCTCATCCAGCTGTGCGCGCATACGTTCAACCGCTGCCTGCTCTTCCAGCGAATCGTCACACACTGCCTGCTCACCCAGCAGTTCTCTACCGCTGAATCCAGTGGCTTTTTCAAACGCTTCATTGGCACGTAACAGACGATCGTTGCTATCGCTGAGGCTGACGGCCACGGGTATATTGGTAAACAGAAACTGGTCTTCAAGCAGCAGATTTAACGGCGAACGGGCACGCAAGCTATGGCGCCAGTAGACAAAGCCGGCGCACAACAGAATCAACGCAAGCAGAGAGAAATAGTAATAGTGTGTTGCATACCCAGCCTGACGCTGCAGTGATGCATCAAGCGCGGCAAGTTCACTGACGACGCCGCCAAGATCTCTGGACACTTCTATACGGTTCGTCGCGGAGATCATCTCGCCCGCACTGATACGGCGGGTCAATTCTTCAAGTGGACGACGCAATTCCTCACTGGCTGGCGGCACATGATGGCGCAGCTGGGGGAACAGTTGTGCTGCACTGATCAACCACGCGGCCTCAGAACTGCCTTCTAGAACGGTTTCATGCAGCGCAGAAGTTTTCTGCAGCAGCACATCGACATCGCGTTGCTGCATCTGAGTAAGGTACAGGTTCAGTGAAAAATAAGCACAGCTGATGACAAAGGCAACCACAACCCACACCTGCCACTGGCTTAACGACAGCGTACGCGCAGCAAATACAAAGGATGAAGGCGCCTGGTTCAAAGTAAATACAGCTCAATCTAGACCTGGAGGTTTCACTTAAGGCTAGACGGTGCACAGCAGGCTGCAATGCTAATTGTCTTTTTTTGGGGATTGGCGCAAGCCCTGGATGCTGGCTGCCGAATTGACGCGCCAGCGCGCAGGATACCGCCAAAAAAACAGCGTCTTGAGCGCTGTTTCACAACGCTCTACCGACACCACAACAATTACTGGACCGGGCTCAGTTCAATCCGCGCAGTACCAGCATGGGGGGTGAGTTCACCAGAGAACGACTGCCTAAAAGGCCAACTACCGTAATAATCAGCGCGCCGACCACGGGGCCGACCGGCCATATCCAGGGATGCAACTGCATATCAAGTTCAAACACCTGGCTTTGCAGAACCGCAACAGTCAGTTCTGCGCCGACCACCGCCACAATGCCTGCAAATGCACCAAGCACCGCAAACTCAAATGCCAGCGAAGCAAATATCAGTTTGCGGGTGCCACCCAGGGTACGCACCAAAGCATGTTCCGCCATGCGCGCATCACGACTGGCCTGAATGCTGGCGACCAGCACAAGACAGCCACTGCCCAGCACCAGGGCCAGCACCAGTTCCACCGCCTGAGTAACCCGATCAACAATATTGGTGATCTGTTCTATGAGAGCATCTATTTCGATCACCGTAATCGTGGGGTGATTGCTGAGCAGTTCGTTGAGAAACACTTTCTCACTGCGTTCCAGGTAGAAACTGGTCATGTACGTCGACGGGTAATCGCGCAGCGCGGGGGGCGACAGAATGATGAAAAAATTAGGGCTCATACTCTCCCATTCAAGGGTCCGTATGCTGGTCACTTCTGCATCGAAGTTCTGCCCGCCAATGTCGAAGGTAAGCACGTCACCGATGGACAGCTTAAAATCGTCGGCATAATCCTGTTCAAGTGATACTTCAGCTTTGTCAGTCTGTTCTGACCACCATTGCCCCGCCACTACTTCGTTGCTCTGAGGTTGTTCAGCGATCCAGGTTAAGTTGCGTTCGGACATCAGGCGTGGACCGCCATCCTCTCCTCGCGGTGCAACTCTGGCCTGATACTCTTTTGCCTCTTCGCCATTCACCCCAACTACACGCCCGCGAATCATTGGATAGAGGAAGTCTCCCGCGGTAGCTTTGTCGTCGATGAGTGTCTGCACCGCTTCCACTTCGTTGGAGGCGATGTTCATGACAAAGTGATTTGCAGCTTCATCCGGCACCTGGGAGCGCCACTCAGTTACCAGCGCAGTGCGCAACAGCACAAGCACCAGTAACAACATTATGGCGAGACCAAAAATCAGAATCTGCGCGGTATTGGCCTGACTGCGACGTTGCAGACCGCTCAACGCAAGACGCCATCCGCTGCGCGCCTGCATACCCACGACTCTTCCGCTTCTCAGCAGCATATATGAGAGCGTTCCAAAAACAATAATTACGCCAGTGGCGCCAATGATTGTCCAGAAGGTCAGAAACCAGCTGCCGCTGTACCAGACCAGCAGAAAAACACTGCCCGCAATCGCTGCTCCGTAAGACAGCCACCGGCTGGCGGGTGCCACACCCAGATCACGCCTGATCACCCGCATCGGCGATACATCTTTCAAATGTATAAATGCCGGCATGGCAAATGAAACGGCGCAGATGAGACCGGTAGCTGTGCCCAGAGCAAACGGACGCAGCCCTGGTGGTGGTAACTCAATGGTTATGAGCGTTGACAGAATCTGCACAATCAACAGGTGCAACAGGCCACCCGCCGCGAGGCCAATGACGATGGCAATTGAGCCGATCAGCAGCAGGATGCTGAGGAACCCATACAGAATCTGCGACGGGGTTGCGCCAAGTGTCTTCAGCACGCCAACGTGATCATAGTGTCGAGCCGCATAGCGATGGGCACTTAAAGCCACAGCAATACCCGCCAGCAGCACCCCCAGCAGGCCACCCAGCAACAGAAAACTTTCCGCTCGATCCAGTGCAGAGCCAATCCGCGGGCTGCTTTCACGGATACTGACCCAACGATAGTTGGGTTCCAGCTCAAGATTGTTACGCAAACTCTCCAGATCACCCTCGTCCCCTCGCAGCAGCAGCCGGTAGGAGATCCGGCTGCCGGGTTGCACCACTTCAGTGGCGGGCACATCGTCAATATTCATCAACAAACGGGGACCCAGATCGAAAAACGAACCACCGCGATCCGGCTCTGCCACTAAGACCCGACCAATACGCAATTCAGCAAGCCCGACTTCGATGCTATCGCCAAGCGTGACGCCGAGCGCAGGAAAAAGCCTGGAATCCAGCCATACCTCGCCAACCGGCGGGATCTCCTGGATGGGATAGCCGCGCACAAACGGTTCGTCGGAGATAATCAATTTGCCGCGCAATGGATAGGTACCGGCAACTGCTTTCACGCTGACCAGCTGGTTTGTATCTCCGGCAAAAACCATGGAGGGAAACACCATGGTTTCAGCCATCTCCAGGTCACGTGCAGCGGCTTCGATCCGAAACGTTTCTGGAATCGGACGCGAACTGGAGATCTGTCTATCTGCTGCCAGAAAATTGGATGATTCCTCCACCAGCGCGTGGTGTAGACGATCGACAAACAAACTGATCGACGTGACCGTCCCGACGGCCACCACCAGCGCCACCAGAAGAAGCCCCATTTCACCTGAACGGATATCACGCATCGCCATGCGGCGAACCAGATGAAAATTCATGTTTTGATACTTCCTGCTTCGATCGCAATGGTGCGGCCACAGCGTTCCGCCAGGCGTTCATCGTGCGTCACCATGATCAGAGTCGTGCCAAATTCTTTATTCAGATCAAACAGTAATTGAATGATCAGCTCGCCGGTGTGAGTGTCGAGGTTACCCGTTGGCTCATCCGCGAAAAGTACCGTCGGCTGGGACGCAAACGCACGGGCAATAGCAACCCGCTGCTGCTCCCCGCCGGATAACTGACGCGGATAATGGGTAACACGATCTTCCAGGCCGACCTTCTTTAACAGATCAACAGCCTGATTTTCTGCCAGAGTTTCACCACGCAACTCAGCGGGTAACATCACATTTTCGAGGGCGGTTAAGCTGCCGAGTAATTGAAAAGATTGAAAGACAAACCCGACATGCTGACCTCTGACCAGGGCGCGGGCTTCTTCATCCAGGCTGGTTAGTTCAGCATCTACAAGTTGTACGCTACCGCCGGTTGCAGAATCGAGCCCGGCAAGGATACCTAACAATGTTGTTTTGCCTGATCCGGATGCGCCGACGATAGCCACAGTTTCACCCTGTTTGATTTCCAGATCAATGCCATCCAAGATAACCAACTTACCCGCGGCCGTATCAACGGACTTTTCGACCGCTTTTGCACATACAACAGTATGACTCATGAATTATTTCTACCCAGTACCAATGAATAAATTGTTATTTCGCTCTGCCACGCAACGCCCGGAAATACGTTTCTGGAGCATGCTGGCTATCCTTTGCGTGTTGATCTTGCCAACCCATCTAAGCGCCTCGACGCTGCCGGCAGTCACCCTGCCATCGACATCTGCTGACCAATCCGCCCAAACAGACGCGCAACAACGAGCGATTGTGGTGCTTGGCGACAGTATCAGCGCCAGTTACGGTATTCAACGCGAACAGGGCTGGGTACATTTACTCGACACGGCGTTAGCGCAGCGTGAAGAGAGCTGGTTCGCGGTGAACGCCAGCGTGTCCGGAGAAACCACCGGGGGCGGCTACGCTCGCCTGGCTGGCGTTCTCGCTGAACACAATCCAGAGATTGTGATTATCGAGTTGGGCGGTAACGATGGTCTACGCGGCTACCCGGTTGAAAAAATTCGAGAAAACCTGCGTGGCATGGTTGATCTGGTCAACGAAAGCGGCGCCACCCCTATTATCGTGGCCATGCGCATACCGCCAAATTACGGACCACGCTACACCCGCGCATTTGATACGGTGTTCTCTGAAGTAGCCACGGAGAAAGGTACAGCCTATGTGCCTTTTCTGCTGGAAGAAGTCGCTCTGGCGGAAAATATGATGCAGGAAGATGGCATCCATCCCACCGCCGAGGCACAGCCTTTACTGTTAGACGCAGTGTGGGAAGAATTGTTACCGCTGTTGTGAGCCTGGTTTACGCGTTGTTTTACTTCTGGGTTTCACCAATGTGAGCCTCTCCCCGCGCAGCTGCCAACTCGACCTGCTTCTGACGTTGCCGAAAGCTGTCTAACCGGGTCTGGCTTGCCTGGCCCACACAATGTGGACACTGGACACCGCGCTCATAAACCTCGCTGGCCAGATCCTCGCTGGATAATGGGTGCCGACAGGCATAACACTGATCGTACTGACCCTGATTCAGGGCGCTATCCACAGAGACCCGCTGATCAAAGACAAAACACTCACCCTGCCAGCGGTTATCTTTTTCTTCGACGTCTTCCAGATACTTCAGAATACCGCCGTCCAACTGATAAACCTTCTCGAATCCCGCTTGACGCATAAAGGCTGATGCTTTTTCACAGCGAATTCCACCGGTACAGAACATGGCAATCTGCTTCTGCTCACCTGGATCAAGCTGTTCTTCGACCCAGCTGGGGAACTCGCGAAAGTTGGTCGTTTCCGGTGAGCGGGCAGATGGAAACGTCCCGATATCAATTTCATAATCGTTACGCGTGTCGATCACCAGCACATCGGGATCGGCTAGCAGCTCATTCCAGCGCTGCGCGTCAACGTGCTCACCGGTTTGTTGCAGGTCAAGATCAGCCACGCCAAAACTGACTATCTCAGGCTTGATTTTGACTTTGAATCGATAGAACCCGCGGTTATCTTCCGCCAGATCGGACCACTTGAACGGCATCTCGCCAAATCGCTGTTGCAGGGATCGGCTCAGCTCTGTTAACGCTGATGTTGTGCCAACCACCGTGCCATTAACCCCTTCATGGGCAATCAGAATGGTGCCTTTCAATTCGAGTTTTGCGCCCATCTGCAGCAATTCACCCTGCAGCGCCTCGAGCTCATCAACCCCTGTAAATTTGTAGAATGCCAGGACCCGCCGCATGTCTAGGACTCGAGCCTTGCCGCGCCATCACCGCCGGCACATGCCGGGCTCATCGGTGCATTTCCAAACCGTTTACGCCACTCTGATTCAGTGTAGGGGTGGATAGCCAGAGCGTGCATGCCTTGGTCAAATTCGCTTTGCAGCAGCGCATTGATACGGCGATGCCGATCGATACGACTGGCGTTTTCGAAGCCGGGCGAAACAATGACAACTTTGAAATGGGTTTGCGCGCCAGCCGGAACGCTATGATTAGCGCTCTCGTCGATCACTTCCAGATGCTGAATATCCAGTTCCTGATCGAGGGTCTGTTCAATGCGTTGAGCTCGCGTTTCCATGCCACGCCTTTGCCAATGATTCGGGCGTCAGATTATAGGGCTGGGCAGAACAGGTGCAAGGACCCGCCATCGACAAAAACAGATGCAGGCAACGTCCTGCGAGCTAGCGTTCGACAACAGCAACGGTGACGTTGTCGCGACCGCCTTTATCCAAAGCTGCTTTCAAAAGATAGTTGGTACAATCATCCAGATCAGGCGTCGCCATAATGGCTTCGATGTCTGCATCTTCGACCAGATCGGATAAGCCATCACTACAAAGCAGCACTCGATCAAACTCCGGCACCACGCCAGCATCCGCCTTAAAGGCACCCGGCAGCCCCATGGCATGGACTAACACATGTTTGTTGGGGGCGTTGTGGGCATTTTCCGGGGCAATTTCACCACTGTCGATCATCCGCTGCGCCAGCGTATGGTCATGGGTGACCTGAGACAATTTGCCGCCACGGTACACATACAGTCGAGAATCTCCAACATGACTGAAATAAGCCGTTTCGCCCTGCATAGCCCACACCACAAGCGTTGTGCCCATTTTGCCCACATAACGCATCTTGCGCGCGCGTTCGAGCACCGCTTCATTGGCCAGATTGAGAACAGCTTTCAGGTCGTCAGCACTTTGGCGGGGCTGTTGAGGATCTCGAAGCGCCCGACAGGCAGACTCCACCGCTACAGAACTGGCAACTTCTCCGGCGAGCAACCCCCCCATTCCATCAGCCAGCACAACAAACTCATGTTCAGGCTCACAATGAACGCGGTCTTCATTGTTTATGCGCACCAACCCCTGATGGCTACGCGACGTCATCTTCACCGTTTCCCCCGTCGGACAAATCCTGCTTGCACGTGGTGTACGTTACCTCCGATCAGTTAAACTAGCCAGTTGCATACACGCATAACTTATGAGGATTTTGATGCTGGCCATTATCTCTCCAGCCAAAACGCTGGACTTCGAATCCAAGCTGACTACCCGCAAAGGCACAACACCTGACTTTGTCGAAGAAAGCGATCAGTTGATCGATCGCCTCCGTCAATACGAACCTGCTCAACTGGCAAAGCTGATGAAGATCAGCGACAACCTGGCTGAACTCAACCACCGTCGCTACCACGAGTGGACGCCTGAATTTGCGCCACAGACGGCCAGGCCAGCCGCCCTGGCGTTCAAGGGCGACGTCTACCTGGGTTTACAGGCCCAGGATCTCAGCGAACGCGATCTGACCTGGGCACAGAAACACCTGCGTATTTTGAGCGGTTTACATGGCGTTCTGAAACCGCTGGACAGAATCCACCCCTACCGCCTGGAAATGGGCACCCCGCTGTGCACCTCCAAAGGCAAAAACCTGTATGAATTCTGGGGAGACAAGGTTACTCGGTCATTAAATGAAGCCCTTGCCGAACAGGCCAATCCGGTATTAGTGAACCTTGCTTCACAGGAATACTTTAACGTCGTTGAACCCGACGCCATCAACGCCGATATCATCAACATTCACTTTAAAGAAGAAAAAGACGGCAAACTGAAGTTCCTGTCGTTTTACGCAAAAAAAGCGCGCGGGCTGATGGCTCGATATATGATCGATAAGCGTGTTAAGACGCTGAAAATGTTAAAAGCATTCGATTACGAAAACTATGCTTACAATGAAGCACTGTCGACCAGCCACGACTGGGTGTTTACCCGCCCGCAGCCCGCACCAGTGAACAGCAGAAAGTAGCACCACCCGAACCAGCAGCGCGAAGCAACAAGCTCAACAAGGAAAACCAATGTCTGAAGACAATTTATCCACCGATGTACAGACCCAGATTGAGGCGGCCGCCTTCCGGCGCCTGCTTGCTCACCTGGACGAGCGTAAAGATGTGCAGAACATCGACCTGATGATTCTGGCAGGCTTCTGCCGCAACTGTCTTTCCAAATGGTACAAAGCAGCGGCGGAAGAACTACAGGCAGACATTGACCTGGATACCGCCCGTGAAAAAGTTTATGGCATGACGTACGACAAGTGGAAAAACACCTATCAGAAGGAAGCAACCCCTGAACAGCTGGCGGCCATGGAAGCGGCTGCGAAACACTGACGTGACCAAGACAAACACCAAGATCGGTGAGCCTGAATTAACCGGCCCCGCCAAATACTGGCGCGAATGGCGCGGCTTTGTGCTGTTTATTGTCATCATGCTGGTATTCCGTTCCGCCATAGCGGACTGGAATCAGGTGCCCACGGGTTCAATGATCCCAACCATTCTCGAGGGTGACCGCATCGTTGTAGACAAACTGGCTTACGACCTGCGCGTGCCATTCACCCTGGTTCGCATTGCCCAGTGGGGGGATCCCCAGCGTTCGGATATTGTCACATTTGAATCACCGAAAGACGGCAAACTACTGGTCAAACGCGTGATCGGCATCCCGGGTGACGTGGTCACCATGTACAACAACCGCCTGACCATCAATGGCGAGATCGGCAAGTACGAAGCGGTTGACCTGAGCGCCCTGCCAGATCCGGTTGCAGCGGCCATCGACAACATAGAGGTGAGCCAGGAAAATCTGCTCGGCAACAGCCACATGGTGATGACATATCGGCTGCGGCACCCACAGATCCGCAGTTCATTTGGACCGGTTACTGTGCCTGAAGGTCATTATCTGATGTTGGGAGACAACCGGGATAACAGCCAGGACTTCAGAGTGATCGGCTTTGTCAAACGCGAAGTTATTCTGGGCAAAGCTGGCGCAATAGCATTTTCGTTAGATTACGAAAATTACTACCTGCCCCGTTCGGAACGCTTCTTCCAGGAACTGATCTGATCCCTGTCTGTTGATGGTCGAAAGCAGAATTCAGCTACCGCGGCGGAACAACCATCGAACTCCCAGCACCAGCACCGCACCTAGCAGGCCTGCAACCACCAGCAAACCGACAAACAGGGCGCTGGTGGCGAGAAACTCGTAGATGACCGCTCGTTCGATACCGTATTGGTCACCCAGCCAGATGATCGCAAAAACGGCGGCAATGGTACCCAGCGCAATGGTGCGAGTAAGTCGCAGCCATCCTGCACGTCGCGCTGAAGAACGCTCAATGGCTGAAGGTTTTTGTCGTGGCGATGGCTTTCTCAAAAATAAATCCCGTCGTTTTCACCTGGCAACAGGCAATCGGTCGGCACATTAACAGGCATTCGATTATGATCCCAACTCAAAAAGAGGTTTTAAATCCCTATGTACAGCCCTGCTGAAACGCAATTTGGTCTCGCCGTGCCCAGTGAACTGTGGACGCTGCCAATCGCTGAAAAACAGGCCCTCGCCAGCCGCATTCACACCAGCGGCTATGACCATGTATTTATGGCTGATCACGTTTCTTTCCGCAACGGTTCAGGCACTGATGGCTTTGTCGAAGTGGCAGGCTTGTCGCAATTGCACGACCAACTTGGTGTGATGATCAGCATTTATCTCCTGCCCCTGCGCCACCCGTTGCCGGTGGCACGCGCGCTGGCCACCATGGCTAAGCTGGCCCCAGGTCGAATGACCTTCGGGGTTGGCGTCGGCGGTGAAGACCGCCATGAAATAGAGATCTGTGGGGTTGACCCGCGCACCCGCGGCAAACGTACCAACGAATCTCTTGAGATTATTCGCCGCCTGTTAGCGGGCGAAGTAGTGGATTATCAGGGTGATCACTTTGATATTGAACAGGCGACCATACGCCCACAACCCAAACATCCCATCCCCTTCATCATTGGCGGACGTTCAGATGCCGCCTTACTTCGGACGGCAAAGTATGGCGATGGCTGGATTGGTGTCTGGTGTTCAGAGCGTCGCTACGCCGAAGCTGTGGACCTTATTCAAAGCGAGGCTGACGCCTGCGGTCGTGGTGACACCCCCTGGCTGCACGGCTATCAGCCCTGGGTAGGCGTAGATCACAACCCAAAAGCTGCCCAGCAGGCGGTAAAGACACAGATGGAAGCCTTTTACAAAGTGCCTTTCGAAAAATTCGAACGTTACACTCCAGCCGGTACACCGGCAGACGTTGCGACACAACTGGCAGGCTACAGTGCTGCCGGTGTAAGAATGTTTAATCTGAAAATCTGCTGCGAACACCCTTCAGAGGAAGTGCACTACGCGGGCGAAGTCCAGCGTGAACTGATGAAGCTGATCGCATGATGAAGTATCTGGCGCTCGCCTGCACATGCAGCGCCCTGCTGTTCTCCTGCAGCGGCAGCCAGGCGGGAAAAACTCACACAGACGACAACAATGGCACCCAGCCTGACGCCCCCTACTACGACGCGGTGTTATTTAACGGTACCGTGTACGACGGCAGTGGCGGCACCCCAGTTGTCGCTGACGTGGGCATCCGTGGCGACAAAATCGACTTCATCGGTAAAATATCTGCAGATCAGACTGATCTGCCTATCGATGCCACAAACCTTGCGGTCGCACCAGGTTTCATCAACATGCTGAGCTGGGCCACCGAATCCCTCCTGGTTGACGGCGCCAGTCAGAGCAACATACGGCAGGGCGTCACCCTCGAAGTTTTTGGTGAAGGCAGCTCCATGGGCCCACTGACGCCCCGGATGCGCGCGCTGATGCTGGAGCGCCAGGGAGAGATTCAATTTGATATTCCATGGACCACACTGGGTGAATACCTGGCTCATCTTGAACACAAAGGCATCGCACCTAATGTGGCGTCTTTTGTGGGGGCAACCACCGTACGGGTACACGAACTGGGTTTTGCAAATCGCGCACCGAATCCCGCCGAGCTCAAAGCAATGCAGGCTCTGGTCGCCCAGGCAATGCGGGAGGGCGCACTGGGCGTCGGCTCATCGCTCATCTACGCGCCTGCATTTTATGCACAAACCGACGAACTCATCGCGCTGATGCAAACCGCAGCTCAATTTAACGGACGCTATATTTCCCATCTGCGCAGCGAAGGCAACCGCCTGCTCGAATCCATTGAAGAACTGATCACAATTGCACAACACAGCGGCGCCGGTGCTGAAATCTACCATCTGAAAATAAGCGGCCGACAGAACTGGCCAAAGTTTGAAGCCGCCGTCGACTTAATCGAAACGGCGCGCGCCTCAGGCCTGGACATTACAGCCAATATGTACACCTACACAGCGGGCTCAACCGGCCTGGACGCGGCCATGCCACCCTGGGTGCAGGAAGGTGGATATGAAGCTTGGGTCAATCGCCTCAAACAACCTGACATACGCGCTGAGGTGGTCAAGCAGATGACCAGCCCTACTGATGAGTGGGAAAATCTATTGCGCGCTGCCGGCCCGGAAAACACGCTGCTGGTGGGGTTTTCCAATCCTGAACTGAGACATTACACCGGCAAAACGCTGGCCAACATCGCCGCACAACGAAAAATGTCTGCCGCGCAAACCGCCATAGATCTGGTGATTGAAGACGGCTCGCGTGTGCAGGTGGTGTACTTCCTGATGTCCCCGGAAAACGTTGCCAGAACCCTGCAACTGCCCTGGGTCAGCTTTGGTTCGGATGCTGCCTCGATGGCAGCAGAAGGCGTTTTCCTCGCCCGCAGCACACATCCGCGCGCTTATGGAAACTTCGCCCGGGTGTTAGGGAAATATGTGCGCGAGGAAAAGCTGGTGTCTTTATCTGAAGCCATCCGCAAGTTGACCAGACTACCCGCAGAGAACCTCCGCCTGGTTAAACGCGGTCAGCTCAAGCCAGGCTATTTTGCCGATATCGCCGTATTCAACCCGGAACTGGTGCGCGATCTGGCAACCTATGACACGCCACACCAGTACAGCGAAGGCATGGTGCATGTTTTTGTTAACGGCACCCGGGCATTGGCCGATGGTGAGCCAACCGGCCGCTTACCCGGCCGCGTCGTGCGGGGTCCTGGCTGGACCGGCTGGTCCGAGCCCGAAGTACTGCATTGAGCATGTGCACCTGAAGGCGCACAGATGCCTGCCTAGCTGTCTTCTGTATCAACCGCAAAGGGCTCGATGAAGCGTATGTTGTTCTTGGCTAAACCCTGCTCAACGATAGACAGACCACCACTTTTCACCATCCATTCGAGGCGATGATCGCGATACTCGCGCTTGAACAGACCCGCCTCTAACGCCTGATGCACCTGTTCAAGACTGACAGCCGGGCTATCAAAGGCAACGGCAGCTGCTGCCTGATTACACTGCTGCACACTCTCTCGCTGGTTGGCGCGCTCCAGCCACTGACCCAGACGGGAAGATTTTTCAGGTGCCAGGTCAAAGCCGACTGACCCATTCACATAAGGAACAACACTGAGATCACCCCAGCCAAAGTGTTCTCCATTGAACCAGGTCGCATCTCCCAGCTCCTGTTCCAACCAGGCGAACCAGCGGTGAGTCTGATCGGCGGCATTAGCCATCATGGTGTCTGCCAGTTCGCCTGTCGCGCGGCGAAAATTGGTGATCTCTGACAATCCCCAGTTGATCGCCTCAAAATGGGTATCCATGACATCCTCCAGCATCCGCATGCGGGCACGTTGTGCAGGGTCGGTTGGCAGCAGGCTGGGGTCAGGCCAGCGATCTTCTATATATTCGAGAATAATGGTGGAATCGAACACGGTGACGTCGCCATCAACCAGTGCCGGCACCTCACCACGTGGACTGGCAGCCGAAAACTCACCGACGGTGTTCCCCGAGCCTATGGCATCGGGCATGACGGCCTGGAAGTCTATGCCCTTTTCTAACAGCGCAATTTTCACCTTCTGCCCGTACGGGGATAACGGGTGGTCGTACACAATGACCATGCAATACTCCTAGTTACAGATGTATTTAGGGTACACTCCGCGGCCCCGTTCGCAAATCACCTGCTGACTTGACCGAAGCTACACCAACATCACCGGATTTTGACCCAAATACCTATCGCTATGCGCGGGTTATTCTGCTGACGGCACTGGTGGGTATGGGTTTTGGGATGACCGTGCTGTTTGCCGTTCTGGCGCCACTGGGACGAGAGGTTGGCTTCACTGAGCTCGAAATCTCCAGCATCATTGCAGCGTCTTCTCTGACAGTTTTTCTGGCCAGTCCGCGCTGGGGCCGACTCAGCGATCGCTGGGGACGTAAAAAAGTCCTGTTGGTTGGTTTGTTTGGCTACGTCGCCGGGACGCTGCTGTTTGCCAGCGTATTCCACATTACCCTTGTCGGCGTTCTTCTGCCGGTGGTCGGCTACTACGCTCTGATGATCTCTCGCATTGCGCACGCTTCGTTGATGGCTGCCATGATGCCCTCCGCCAGCGCCTATATGGCTGATATTACCGATCTGGCAGGGCGTACTAAAGGCATGGGCGCCGTTGGCGCAGCCACTAATCTCGGCAATATCATTGGCCCAGCTGCGGGCGGCTTGTTAGCAGGTATCACACTCCTGACGCCGTTATGGGTCGCTGCCGGCTTAGCCGCAGTTACCGCCGTGTTTGTGGTCTTTTACCTGCCCGAATCACCACATGTCAACGTGACCTCGACCCGCGCTACCAAGCGTTTGAAATATACCGACGCGCGCATCATGCCGTTCATTTTTGTTGGCGTTTTAATGTTCATGGGTATGGCCATGGTGCAGCAGACTCTGGCATTTCGCTTTCAGGATATCCTCAACCTGACGGCAGTAGAGACCGCTCAAACATTTGGACTGGCGATGGGACTCAGCGCCGCCGCCTCCCTGGGTAGCCAGCTGTTCCTGATGCAGCGATTCAACCTTGCACCTTTTCAGTGGCTGCGCATCGCTCTGCCTATTCTCATCGTGGCGTTCGGCTGTATGGCCATTGCTGACAGTAAAGCCCTGTTGATGGGCGCGATGGTCCTACAGGGCGCTGGCATGGGGCTTGCCGGTCCTGCCTTTATGGCCGGCGCCTCTCTGGCGGTTACTGCCGAAGAACAAGGGGCTGTGGCAGGCGTGGCGGGATCCTGCGGGCCACTTGGGTTTACCATTGGTCCACTGCTGGGTGGCTTCTTCTATCAATACGAGCCTGCCCTGCCTTACTGGATTACGTTTTTCATCTATATTCCCCTGTTCTTCTTTGTCATCTGGGCCAATCGAAAACTGACGCGACCCACACACTGACGTCCATGCAGCCACAGAAACAACACTGCTGGAAATGATGCGGGACACCAGTATGATCCAGTCTTTCATCTCATTGGAATTTTGCTCATGTCAGATACATCCTCCTGCTCAGATGTACAGACCAGCCCATCACCTTTTGTAAAACAGCTTTCGCGCCTGGCATTGCCCCTGGGCCTGCTGCTCACGACCCATGCGTTTGGTCATGGTGCTGCCAGCGCACCCGCGGCTGAGGGTGATCCTGCTGCATTGATACAGGCTGAAGCGCGCAAGATCATCTTTCCAGATACGGCCAGACACAAAACTCTGGTGGTAGATCTGCACACCCATACAGTATTTTCAGACGGTCACGTATGGCCAAAGATACGCGTTGGCGAGGCATTGCGGGATGGTCTGGATGCCATGGCGGTGACAGAACACCTGGAGTACCAGCCCCATATTGCCGATATTCCCCACCCGGATAGAAACCGTGCTTATGTAGAAACAGTCGCCGCCGCGGAAGGCTCGGATCTGATGGTCATTGCCGGGTCTGAAATTACCCGGGGCGACCCGGCCGGACATATCAACGCTATTTTCATAAATGACGCTAACGCGCTGTTTAAAGTGACAACGCCGCCTGCGGACCCAACAGATGTCCGGGCTTTCTACGAAGCAACCGATGCCTGGCCGGCGCAGAACGCCGTGGACGCCGCCGCGGAACAGGGCGCATTCATGTTCTGGAACCACCCCTACTGGACGGTGCAGAGCCCTGACGGCATCGCCCGGATGAATGATTTCCATGCAGCCAACCTTGAAGCCGGTAAGTTGCACGGCATTGAGGTGGCAAACGGCAAAGACTATTCCGCCGAGGCGCACGCGATTGCCCTGGAACACAGTCTGACGTTGATTGGTGTGTCTGATATTCATGACCTGATCGATTGGGACTACGCGCCACACAATGGTGGCCACCGCCCGGTCAACCTGGTGCTGGCCACCGAACGAACGCCTGAGGCTTTACGTTCTGCTTTATTCGCTGGACGAACCCTGGTGTGGTTTAAAAATCTGCTGATTGCCCGCGAACCTGAAATGACCGCGATGCTAAATGCCTCTCTGCAGGTAACCGAGGCTAAATACCGACCCAATACTCAGGTTCTGGAAGTGAGCATCCACAACCATTCTGATGCCAGCTTTGATCTGCGCAACCAGACCGACATGACGTTTATGGACCACGCAAACCGAATTTCCATTGCGCCCCATGCCACCACAACGTTCTCCGTTAAACCCGGGGAAGCGGCAACCAGCCTGGCGCTCACCTTCGAAGTAGAGAACGCGCTCCTGACGCCCACCAGCCACCCAAGCATCACCTTTAATGTGATGCCTGAAGTCTAATAGTTGCCTGAAATCAGACACTTGCAACACATTTGTGGAACAGCCTACCGGCTTCAACGGCACCTTTGTACCGCTGCTGCCGGTTTGATACTGGGTGTTGCAGGTTGTGGTATAGAGCAACCTGTCGATCGCAACAGCGGTGCGCAGAGTTTGGTCTCGGGCACCCTGCCCCCAACCGAACGCGATGTTACAGACCACAGCTACTGGCAGGCTGAGGGCCTCACGCCCCATCGGGTGGACAGTGCGGACAGCCGCTTACTGGTACTGGAACTTGATCCTACCCATTTCGAGCCGGCAATTGTCGCTGCACCTCAGAGTGGCATAGCGGCCATCGATGCGCTGCGAGCGAACGACTATCGGGTAATCATTGGCAGTGGGTTTGTTTCAGAGTTGAACAGCCTGGCGCCCGTGGGCCTCCTGCAGATTGATGGCCAGACCCTTAATCCGGTGCAGGGCTACGGCTATACACGCATTCTGGGTATTAATGATGGCGGTATCGGTGTGGTACATCGCAATGACTACCAGCGTGCATTGTTTCACAGCGCCATACAGGCAGGTCCCGGCATCGTCGAAAACGCCCAACTGGACATATCCGAGAAAGATCTGCAACGACCTAAATACTTCCGCAGTTTTGTTGGCCTGTGTGCACAACGATGGCTGGTGGGTGTGAGTTTAGAACCGACCCATCTGCGTACCCTGGGACAGGCGATGGTTGCATACGCCCAGACGCAGAACTGGCAATGCGAAGACCTCGTCAATCTGGCTGGCGACCGCCAGGCTGTGCTGATGCTGCGCACCCGCAGCGGCGAGCTGCTTTATCACGGTGATCCGGACACCTACAAAGTGAGCCTGTTGGGATTCCATTAGCCGAGCTCTATTACTCCGCTGGTGTTTATTTATCTCCCGGCAAAAGGGCTGACAGAAACTGTTCATGTGCAGCAACACGTTCCGGGTCCGGCTCTCCAAACGCGTCTAACATCGCCGACATACGTTGTGCTGTGGCTTCTTTCATTTCCGGATGTGGAAACAGATACAGCTCATTGTCTTTGATGCCTTGTACCACCATATCTGCGACATCTGCCGCATCGATACCCGTATTCATCGCCAGGTTCATTATCTCACTGTGCGCTTCAGCCGCCGCTACGCTATCGGGTTGCGTGACATCAAAAACCGTCGGGCGATTCCGCTCACTTTCAAGGATTTTGGTGCGCACCATACCAGGACACAACACCGACACGCCAATTCCGTGGGGTTCCAGATCAGCACGCAGGGATTCTGACAGGCCAACAACCGCGAACTTGCTGGCATTGTAAATGCCCAGACCGGGAGAGGTGGTTACCCCGGCCATCGACGCAGTATTGACAATATGCCCCCCTTCGCCATGCTGTTGGATGCGCTTTACCAGAGTCTGAAGCCCATTCACAACCCCACCGACGTTAACCCCCATGATCCAGTCCCAATCTTCGTAGGTTGCTGCATCCATGCTGCCACCTCGATAGACACCGGCGTTGTTACACACCACATGAATGGATCCGAGCTCGGCCTCAACCTGATCTGCAACTGCCTTGAATTGTTCTCGATTTGTGACGTCCAGCTGCAGAGCCAGCACCTGCGCATTACTGCCCGCCAATTCTGTACGCGCGGTCTGCAAAGCTTTTTCATCAACATCTACTATGGCCACGTTCATGCCTTCATGCAGAAATGCTTTGGCCATGGCCAGACCAATACCACTGGCACCGCCGGTAATGAAGGCGTTCTTGCCTGCGAGATCTTTCATGTTATTCCCCTGATTATTCGTCTTCAGTTTATTCGACAGCGGTCTTATTTAGTACGGCGGTTCGGCATCAGCTTGCCATACGTCAATACCCGCCAGAGCCATTCCACCGGACCAAAACGAAAACGTTCCAGCCACCAGGGACTGAGCCATAGCTGCAGCACCCATATGGCAAATACAACCCCATAAAGTTGCGCGCGAGACAGCTCACCGACCAGCGCAAAGCCAGCGCCGGTAAATATGATGAGCGCAATCAACGAATGCATAAGGTAGTTCGTCAATGCCATTCGTCCCACACTGGCCAGGCGTGCGCGCAAGCCTGTCAAAAGTGAACTGTTGATAAGGAGCAGCAACAGCCCGATGTAACCCATCGCCATACCAAGCCTGCCGACATGATAAGTCGCCTGAACCTGAGCGAAGACACTGAGCAGCTCAAAATCACTATCGATGGCACGGTGAATCTCACTGGCGTTCACAAGCAACCCAACGGTAAAACCACCCCACATGAGTTTCTTATAAAAAGCCGATGAACGCAGCCCCTGAAGAACACCATATTTGTAAAGGGCCATGCCTAACAACATCATGGCCAGCGCATCCCAGAATAGATAAAGCGGTAACACAAATGTCAGCATTTCATTGGTTTTCTTAGCGTTCCACGCCAGCGCCGACAGATAGCTGCCTTGTCTTGCGGCCAGCTCTTGCGCCTGTTGTTCTGCAGACAGCGTGAAATCCCCGGCAAACACCTGCCACTGCTCACCAGCAGCCAGGGTACCGGCATCAAGGGAAGCAACATCATCGGCCTGCTCTACCTGTTGTGCAGCCTGCTGTGCCGCAGACAGGGCCAGGTTGGTTACACCGTAAAAAGCCGACAGCATGACAAACAACACAACCGCGGTCGTCAATAACCGCCCGGCCCTGACGTCTCGAACAAAATACAGGAGCGCGCCTGCCAGCGCGTAATTGAGCAAAATGTCGCCACTCCACAGGAGCAGATAAGCATCGAAGAGACCAAACGCCAGCAACCAGAAATTTCTTTTGAAATGAACGCCTGCACCGCGTCCTTCAACGCCCCCGACAAAAAGCACCACCCCGGCACCGAACAGAATCGAGAACAATCCGCGCATGGCGCCTTCGGCAAACAATTCCACACTGGACCAGGCAATAAGATCAGCGGTACCGGTCATTGCTTCTGACGGCACAGAATAGGCAGAAGAAATAAGTCCAAAGCCAACGATATTCAGCAACAGGATACCCAGCAGAGCAAAGCCACGCAGCACATCCAGGGACTCAATACGCTGCGCTTCCGAAACCGGCGCCTGACTCATGCTCTACTCCTAGCCACCTTCTATACGTGACATGAAAAAAACTTCGCTGTCTGGATCTATTGGCTCCAGGAAAGCATCCTGGTAGATGTTGCCATCAATCGCCACTGCAATTCTTTCCAGCGGCTCCTCCAGCTCCGGCCAGCGCTGGACAAGGGCCTTGACCAGCTCACGGTAGTTTTCCGCCGGGCAGTGCCACTCGCGCTCACCACCCGTGAAACCTAACAAGCTATCGGGAAAAACAACTTTAGCCAATGTGACAATCTCTCTACCTGTCTGACATCCCATTACACCGCAAAAAAAAGGGGCGCAAGCCCCTTTTTCTACGCAACATTACCGCGCGGTCAGGCATCCAACTCGGCGAGTATGTTTGGCGGTGACAGCGGCAGATCACACAGACGCTTACCTACCGAACGTGATACCGCATTTGCGACGGTGGCCAGCGGTGCAACAATAGGCGTTTCACCTACCCCACGCACCCCATAGGGGTGGCTCGGATTCGGCACCTCGATAATCTGAGTATCAATCATCGGCAAGTCTGAAGCCACCGGAATTCGGTAGTCCAGGAATCCTGCATTTTCCAGAACACCCTGCTCATCAAAGATATATTCTTCATTCAGGGCCCAACCGATTCCCTGGGCGGCACCACCCTGCATCTGTCCTTCAACATACGCAGGATGAATCGCTTTGCCGGCATCCTGAATGGCGGTATAGCTCAGCACATCGGTTTTGCCGGTTTCCCGGTCTACCCGGATATCGGCAAAGTTGATGGAAAAACTAGCACCGGCACCCTGTGCATTGAGAGACGCGCGTCCCTGTATGGGCCCTCCGGTCTTTGCTGCATTGCCAGCCAATTCAGCCAGACTCAATGGTTTCACGTCAGCGTTAACGCCAGGTGCCGGAATAGCCACGCCGTCCTGCCATTCAACCTGATCCTCATCCACCCCCCAGGTCATGGATGCGCGTTTTTTACACTCCGCTATCACATCTTCACAGGCCTGAGTCACCGCCATGCCCGTCGCAAACGTGGTGCGTGAGCCACCGGTGACATTACAGAAACCCGTGCTTTCCGTATCCCCCACCTGAGTACGGACCTGTTCATATTCAATACCCAGGGTCTCAGCCGCCATCAGGCACATGGACGCCCGTGAGCCGCCAATGTCCGGACTGCCTTCAATGACCATGACGGTACCGTTTTCATTGACGTTAACTTCCGCGGAAGACTGCATGCCGACATTAAACCAGAAGCCCGCAGCCACACCCCGACCCGCACCCTCAGGCACAGGACGTTTGTAATTCGGGTGATTCCTGGCAGCTTCTATACACGCTTTAAAGCCGATAGGCGGAAATTTCGGACCGTAAGGGGCTTGTGTACCCTCTTCTGCAGCATTGACCAGGCGTAGATCCAACGGATCCATATTCAACGCTATCGCCGCTTCGTCTAACGCACATTCAAATGCATGCATGGTCTGGGGTGCACCAGGGGCGCGATAAGCAGCCACTTTAGGTTTGTTGACCAACACATCAAACGCTTCAACAGCAAAGTTTTCCAGCTTATAAGGCGCGTACATCGACATGATGCCAGGCATGTGCGGCGCACCTGCAAACGCGCCAGCTTCAAAAGCCACCCAGGAATCAGCTGCGGTTATCGTGCCGTCGTTTTTCAGACCCACCTTTACCCTGGCAACGGTACCCGAGGTTGGACCTGTTGCACGAAACACTTCTTCCCGACTCATGGTCATTTTGACTGGTCGGTTTGATTTTTCTGACAACATAACCGCCAGAGGCTCGAGATAAACCACGGTCTTACCGCCGAATCCGCCACCGATTTCAGAAGCGATAAACTTCAGATCCGCCATATCTTTGCCCAGGAGCTTTGCCGTCATAGCGCGGAACTCAAAATGACCCTGGGTGCAACACCACACAGATCCGCGTCCGGTTTCATCCATATTGGCGACACAGGCGTGAGGTTCGATATAACCCTGGTGAGCCATCGGCACCTTATATTCGCGTTCAATCACAATATCTGCAGCGGCGAAGCCTTCTTCTAGGTTGCCTCTGACAAGCTTGCCCACGTTAGCTACATTGCTTGGATTATCTGGCTTCTCGGGCAGCTTGGTGTAGTTATTTTCATCTACCAGCACCGAATCTGCAGCCATAGCCGCCACCACATCCAGTACCGGAGGAAGCGGTTCATATTCCACTTTGATAGCCGCCAGCGCTGCTTCGGCGATGGCCAGGGTTGACGCTGAAACCGCAGCTACCGCGTGGCCGTGGTACAGCACCTTGTCTCGCGCCATAACGTTTTTAGCCAGATCGCCCAGCGTGCCCCCGCCTTCACCACCTATTTCACCACCTTCAACGTCGATGAAGTCTTTACCGCAGATGGCGGCATACACGCCATCCATTGCTAACGCACCGCTCAGATCAATACTCTTGATACGCGCGTGGGCATGGGGGCTGCGCAAGACACGCCCATGTATCATGTTGGGTAGCACCAGATCTGCACCGAAACGGGCGCGCCCTGTGACTTTGTCTACCCCATCAGGACGTATCGGACTGCGGCCTATCTGCTTGTATTCGATGGCTTCAGCCATGTCTGCTCTCCTCTTGAAATCTGCGCGGTACGCACCGTTTATCTCTGCCCGAAATCTAGCACGAAGTGCCTGCGTGTGGGAGGCCTTAAGTGCCCGCTGGCTGGCCTTTACCTTTCGGCCCGGCCTTATTTCATCTGATAACGTATGGGCAGGCTTTTCAGGCCGCCGACAAAGGTGGATTGCATATATTTTGGCTCGCCGGCCAGTTCGATATGGGACAGCCGGGACAGCATTTCCTTGAACAGGGCGGTAATCTCCATGCGCGCCAGATGCTGGCCAAGACAGACATGGGCACCAAAACCAAAGGCCAGATGTTTGGCTTCTTTGCGATCCACCCGGAAGTCAAAGGGGTCAGAGAATACTTCTTCATCTCGATTTGCTGACGGATACCAGAGTATCGCCGACTCACCTTCTTTGATGGTCTGCCCGCCAATCTCATAGTCCTCGGTCGCCGTGCGCATGAAGTGCCGCACGGGACTGGTCCAGCGGATCATTTCATCTACAGCACCAGCCAGATAAGTGTCCGGATCACTCTGCAGCTTCGCCAGCTGCTCAGGATTGTTCAGCAGCGCCAGCAACCCACCGGCAGTTGAAGAGCTGGTGGTGTCATGGCCGGCAGTGGCGATGATGATGTAGTAACCGTTGATTTCGTGGTCCGGGATCGGCTGCCCGTCAATTTCGGCGTTGGCAATGACTGAGGCAACGTCACCTGTTGGGTGAGCGCGGCGCGCGGCGGTAAGTTTCTGGAAATAGGCTTCGAAATCCAAAACCACCTGCATGAACTCTGTCATTTCGAATGACCGTGAAACGTCTGGATCAGAGCTGCCAAACAGTTCCTGAGTCAGCTTCAGCATCAGAGGCTCGTCTTCTTCCGGCACCCCGAGAATCGACATAATGACCCGCAATGGATACCAGATGCCCACGTCTTTAACAAAATCACACTCGCCGCCCATGTCCTGCATGCGGTCGACGTAGTGTTCAGCCAGCTCATCCACCCGAGTCTGCAGCTTGCGCAGGTTGGTGCCCATGAACCAGCCCTGAGTGAGTCGGCGGTATTTCATATGATCCGGATCGTCCATCTGTACAAGCGACCTGACAAGATGTTTGCGCCCGGACATCTGCTGCATGATCGCCTGCATCATCTGTGGCCCGAGTACCGGGCGAGGGTCGTTGATGAACACCTCTTTGTGCTGTTCTATCTCTTTGATGTGGTTATAGCGGGTGACATTCCAGAACGGTTCAAAACCCTCCGGAGCAAGCTTGCGCAGAGGGGCGTGGGCACGCAGCCAGCTGAACTGATCATGCACCCAATCTTCCTGACTCCAGTTAGCCGGATCGACCAGCGCGTTATCTAATTCCGGAGAGGTTTTGAAAATTTCCATAGAACTCTTGTGGTACTTGATTACGCAACAATTATACAATCCGCGCCGCATTCTACGACTGACTATTCATGCCTTATTTTGACGCTGTTAAAAATCTCGGGAAGTGGCGCTTCGGCTTAACTCACGACCTGGTGCTGGACAATGGCGAAGCCTATCTGGAGCGCTGGATAGTCTGGTGTGGCATCACTCTGCGCGTGCATAAATTCCACAAAGGCGATGATGACCGCGCGTTTCATGACCACCCCTGGTGGTTCATAACCCTGCCGTTACGCAACTACGTCGAAACAACCCCGTCTCAGGGCCAGGTGACCGTAAGACGCTTTCGGCCCCATTTTCGCCCCGCCGCGCACCAGCACATTGTGCACCTGGGCGACGGTAAACCGGTGTGGACGCTGATCGTCACCGGTGCAAAATCACAGCAGTGGGGATTCTGGGACAACGCCCAGTTTGTGCCTCACGAACAATGGCTTGCGAATCGGGAAACTCTGAACTGATCTCACCATGGCGGACCTTGCGCCCACCGCGCTTAAATCGTTTCTGCTGTGCGGCTGCCAAGATAATTTGCGGCGACAACCAATAGACAAAGCGCTGCCCCCATACTGCGGGTGGGCACCGATGGCCACAGCATCAAAACCACACTGAACGCACTGAGCAAAACCAGATACCTGCGCAGGCGTACAAACAGGTAACCCTCAACGGCCATTGCAATGCCTAGCACCATACAAAGGGTTAAACCCGCCGCGGGCAAAACATCTGCCCAGCTCCGCTCCGGGGTGAGCAGTAACGGCGAAAACGCCATCATCAACGGGATCACAAACAAACCACTGGCCAGTTTGAAAGCCTCTACCGCTGCACGCATGGGGGCTGCGCCGGCGATACCGGCGCCGGCAAAAGCAGCCAGCGCGATTGGCGGTGTGACATTGGAGGTTTGCGATAGCCAGAAAATAATCATGTGCGCAGTGATCAACGCCAGTCCCAGTTCCTGCAATGCAGGCGCCGTCATCACCGCCAGTACGATATAAGCGGCGGTGGCAGGCAGGCCCATACCCAGCACAAGCGCGGCCAGAGCAACCAGAATCAATGCCAGCCAGAGTTGCCCATTGCTCATGCCAACTACGGACTCGGTGAATTGCAGGCCGATACCGGTTTGCCCGATGGTACCCACCACAATCCCAGCAACGGCACAGGCCACAGAAATAGGCACTGCCATACGTGCACCGTTGTGCAGCGCATCGGCAATTTCAGGCAGGCCTACCCGCGTATGCCGACGCAACAAGCTTGCCAGCACAACCGCGGCACAACCTGATACGCCCACCAGCACCGGCGAATAATTGTTCAGCAGTAACAGAGTGATCAATACCAGCGGTAAAAGGAAATGCAGACCATCACGCAGAACCCGCCAGGCCCCGGCGGGATTCTTCATACCGGTAAAGCCGCCTTTGACAGCCATGATATGTACGTACAACAACACCGAGGTGAAATACAGCAGCGCGGGCAGTAAAGACATCCAGACAATGTCGCCATATGGGGTTTTGGTGAACTCGGCCATAACAAAAGCACCCGCCCCCATAATCGGCGGCATGATCTGCCCGCCGGTGGACGCCGCTGCTTCGATACCCGCAGCCTCTTCGGGTTTATAGCCTAACTGTTTCATCATGGGGATGGTCAGCGACCCGGTGGTCACCGTATTGGCTATGGCGCTACCGGAAATGGAACCCATCGCCGCTGAAGCAATGACACTGGCCTTTGCTGGACCGCCACGATAGCGACCGGCTGCGGCAAAAGACAGATTGATCAGAAACTGACCGGCACCGGTAACCTGCAGAAACGCGCCAAATAGAACAAAACTGAAAACCGCGCCTGCAGCTATCCCGAGAGGTGCACCAAACAGACCTGCGCCGGTGTACACCTGGAAACGGACTATACGCTCGAAGCTGAAGCCGCGTGTTGCCAGCACGTCCGGGAGATAGTTGCCAAACGCGGCATAGAGGATGAACGTCAGTCCAACCACCATCATCACCGCACCCACCGCACGTCGAGCCATTTCCAGGGTGGCGGCGAGCAACAACAGACCCGCCAGATAGTCAGGCCAGGACAAGCCGTACAACAGGTGATCCAGGCCCTGATAGTCAAACTGCACCACTCGATAGGAAGACCACAACAAGCCAGCAATCACCAGCAGATCTAACAGACGCCATCCTCGGTGCTGAGCGGCCTGTGCAGAAAACGGGTAGATTAGAAAGCCGATCACCAGAACCCAGCACAGATGTACCGGTCGAAAATAGGTGGCGGGAAGCAGACCGAAAATAGATTCAAACGGCACTATCCCCGGCGGGAAGAAACCCACGATCGGCTGCCAGAGTTGGAAAACAGACAATAACAGGGCCAGTATAAAAACCAGACGACCCGTGGGACTGAGCCAATCTCTGATGGATCGTTCAGACACCGTCAGCGGCCAGGCAGTCCACCTGCTCCGGAGTGCTGCCCTGCACGGCCTGCAGATACCTCAGCGTGCCCGGATGCAACGGCACTGCCGCCAGCTTCGTAAGATTGGCCACGCTCATATCTTCAGCCACCGGCGAGACCCCTAACAGCACCTGTTTGTGTGCAAACAGGGTACAGGTCAGGCTGTAGGCGAGGGCTTCGGACATCGACTCATGAACCACAACCGCGCTCCAGATACCCAGCGCCTGCACCGGCTCTGAGATGCCATTGTAGGTATCCGCGGGTATCTCATATCCCGCATAAGCCGGAAACTTTTTTTGCAGAGTCACAAGGTCTGCGTCCGTCAGTGGCACTAACACAAGGTTGCGCGTAACCGCCAGTTCGGTCACCGCTGCCAGACCCAGGCCGCCCACCACAAAACCCGCATCAATGGTGCCATCCTTTAATGCAGACGTTGTTTCGCCAAAGTTCAGATAGGCCGCTGCCAGCTCCTCCAACGCGACACCGAGGCCAGTGACAACGTTTTCTGCTGCGATAGCCGTACCAGAACCAGACGCGCCCAACGAGACGCGCTTCCCGCGCAGTTCGGCAACCGATGTTACGCCGCTATCGGCAAGGGTCAGTATGTGCACAATATTCGGATAAGCATTGACCAGCACCCGCAGCGGTAAGGGTTCGGGGAAGCGCCCCTGGCCGAGATAGGCATCGGTCACCACATCAGCCATGGCAAGACCGAATTCGCTTTCCTGTCGGGCAACCTGGACAACGTTGGTGACAGAACCACCGGTCACTTCAGCTTTAACATTCACATGCGGCAGGTGTTCTGACCACAGCGACGCCATGCCACCCCCAAACGGATAGTACAGCCCCGCCGTGCCACCTGTGGCGATGGAAAACGTTGTCCGCGACTCCTGTTTACCACCACAACCAGACAAGCTGACCAACGCCAGCAGTACCAGGCTCAGACTTCGACTGAATCGTTGCACAACCGCCTCAATAACCAAAAGCGTTAAAACGAATCATATCCGCCGTCGATTAAAAAGGTCTCCGCTGTGTGGTAGGCACTGGCAGTGCTCATAATATAGATAGCAATGGCAGCAAAATCTTCCGGCACACCCCAACGCCTGGCGGGAATCCGTTTGCTCACATTGGTGACAAATTTCGGATTATCAAACGCGCTCTGTGTCATGTCCGTTTCAATCCAACCCGGCAGCAGCGTGTGGGCGGTGACGTTATAGCGGGCGTACTCAACCGCCAGCGCTTTGATCATGGAAATAAGACCCCCTTTGGCCGCCGCATAATGCTCACCCCGAGCCTGCCCCGATATGGCGGCAAGACTTGCCGTGCCCACCAGCCGACCAAACCCATCACCCTGCTCCGCGCGTTCGCGCATATGTTTTGCAGCCGCCCGGAAAGTAAAAAACACGCCGGTCTGATTGACGCTGATGACGTGTTCCCACTCCTCCAGGGTCATGTCATCAAAACCCGTACCACGGCCGCCAACGCCGGCATTAGCAAAACAACCGTCTACACGGCCATGATCAGCAAGGGTTTTAGCAAACGCGGCCTCGACCGCTGCTTCGTCAGCCACGTTGCAGACGCTGGCGCTGACCTTCGGACCAATCTCAGCCAGTTGCGCAAGCGCCGCCTCATTTTTAGCCGGGTTTGTTCCCCAGATACAGACTTCTGCACCAGCCTCGGCAAGACCTTTAGCCATACCCAGACCAATGCCACCATTACCGCCGGTAATCAGAACAACACGGCCAGTTAAATCAAACGGTTGAAACGCCATAGATCCCCTCTATTGTGTTAAAAAATGCAGGCTCTGCGAGGTGCAACCATAACTGATCTAACAGGGTGAAACTATTTTACTTGAACACAAGTGTTCAGATGGACACAGACCGGGCCGCGCCTTTCACAGACAGGTGAATTTTTCTCAGGGTCGAAAACTGATCTCAACGCGATTGTTTAACTGCGCCGCCGCATTCCACTGCCCGGCGCTGGCCTGACTGTCTGGATATGACACAATTTCGGCAGATGAGCCCCCATCAAGGGCCAGCAGCACCAGTTCAGGCAACGCGCCTTCACGGGTGTTGAGCAACTGGGCAAACTCAACGGACAGACGATCACTGACATAGGTGTTGTCTTCATCAATGTGTCCAACATAGTCACAGGACAGCATCGGCAGATCATCTGCCGCCAGCTGATATTGGCCTGCTGCATCGATGACCAGACAGAAGCGTCCCAGGTGACTGGTGACAACCACCTCACCGGTAAAACCCATCTCAGACAGAAACGGCAAAACGTCAGACAACCGCTGAGCTAAATTGGCGCTGAACGCCGGGGCGAACATCGGCACATCTGTGTTCACATTCAGCGTCGCAGCCAGGCCTTGCAGTGCGCTCTGCCGAACCTGCTGAATCTGCTGTTCAGCCGCACTGTTATCCGCCTGCAGCGCTGCCCGACTTGCAGCGGCAAGGTCAACCTTAGCGGCTTCAGCCTGGGCCAGCTGTGCAACTGCTCCGTCACGCTGCAGTTTGAACTGGAACGCCAGAAAGCAGGCCACCACCAGCGCAACAAACAGCGCTGCGCGCAGCCACCAGCCACTTAGCTTTGTAGCAGGCTCGGGGACCTCATCTTCATCAGAGAGTTCTTCTGCTTTCTGCAACGCCTGCTCTTTGAGCAGCTCATGCACCACTTCTTTAGCAAAACTGCGTTGACTGCGCAGAATATCCGCACGCAACGTGAGGTGCTGGTCTTCAAGAATCCGGGTAACCAGGTTCTGCACCGCTATGCCTTGCGCCTGCGCCTCTAAAGAGCGATCTACGTCGTCGAGCACGTAGGTGTCGGGTTCTTGCCGTTCAGCGGTATCGCGCCGCTCTTTGACCAGCCCCAGATTGAGCAACATTTCGAACAGTTGATGCGGCTGCACATTTTTGGGCAACACACCCACAGCACCCAGCGCCCGCGCCTGCCCAACATAGACCTCCCCTTCCTTGGTGGTGTACATCATGACCGGGATGGTTGCGGTTTTGGGGTTGGCTTTGATCGCGGATACAGCTTCCAGCCCATCCATGCCGGGCATGGTGTGATCCATGAAAATCACATCCACGCTGGCTTTCTTGAGGAATTCAATTGCACTTTCACCGGAATCGGCAAGATCAACTTCAAGCTGATGCTCTTCCAGCAGCTTTTTCAGCGCCATTCGCGCTGATCTGGAATCATCTACAACCAGGGCACGTCTTAAAGCCATCAGGACAACACATTGTTGAAGCGCCCCCATGCTAGCAGGAGCGCACGCCTTCAAGTGTTAAATGATGCGCATATCCGACCTTATCGCTTCGAAGTGCGCCAGCTTAACCACACCCACAGGCGTTCATGGGCGTAGTAGATGAAAAACTTGAGGACAAACTCAACCCCACCAATTATCGCTGCGGTTTTGAGCTCGCCGGTCACAAAATAGGCAACCATGGCGGTAGAAAGCGTACCTAAGAGGCGCCATGAAAGCGCCTTAGCCAGGCTGCGGAGGTGTGACTCACGTATTACATCAGACATATTTGAGGACCTGCTGCACGGATTCCTCAAGACTCATTTCCCCCGTGGGAATGCGCAGTTCGGCGCTTTCCGGTTCCTCGTAAGGCGAGTCTATGCCTGTGAAATGCGGCAGCTCACCGCGACGCGCCTTGCGATACAGACCTTTAGGATCCCGCTGTTCTGCGACTTCCAGGGGTACATCGAGAAAGACCTCAACAAACTCCTCCTCTTCAAACAGCGCCCGTGCCATATCCCGCTCGGAACGGAACGGCGAGATAAAAGCGGTGATCACAATCAGTCCTGCTTCCACCATCAGTTTTGCAACTTCAGCGGTGCGGCGGATGTTTTCCACCCGATCTGCATCGGTGAAGCCAAGATCCCGATTCAGACCATGGCGGACATTGTCGCCATCGAGAATAAACGTGTGTTTACCCTGAGCGTGCAGTGCCTGTTCAACACCGTTGGCGACGGTCGACTTGCCCGAGCCACTTAGCCCGGTCATCCAGATGACCTTGCCTTTCTGCCCTTTCAGCGCCGCACGTGCCTGTTTATCGACAATATGGGTGTGGCGGTGAATGTTGGTCGCCCTCCGCAAGGCAAAATTGATCATACCTGCGCCGACAGTGGCGTGGGTGTAACGATCAATCAGAACAAAGGCGCCCATGGCTTTATTATCCAGATAAGCATCAAAGGCAATCGGCTGATCCAGCGTCAGGGTCACACGACCAATATCGTTTAACCCGAACGATCTGGCTGACAGATGCTCCAGAGTATTGATGTTGTAGCGAAACTTCACATCAGTCAGCGTGGCGTTGACCCTTGTCGTGCCAATCATCATCCAGTAGCTGCGGCCTATGTAGCCTTCTTCGCTGTCCATCCACACCAGCGATGTATCAAATTGATCAGCCACTTCACAGGGTGAATCTGCAGCCACAATAACGTTGCCCCGCGAGACATCTACCTCTCGGTCCAAGGTCAGCGTCACCGCCTGATCGGTGTGCGCTTTATGCAGTTTGTCGTGATGCAGAATAATCTCATCCACCTTCGCGGTTTCGCCTGAAGGCAGCACCCGGATATCGTCTCCGGGTTGAATACTGCCTGCCACTACGGTGCCGGCAAACCCGCGGAAATCGGAGTTGGGTCGATTCACCCACTGCACCGGAAAGCGGAACGGCTGAGTATCTTCATCGTGATGAATATCTACGGTTTCCAGATAACCCAGCAGCGTCGGCCCTGCATACCAGCTGGTGGCGCCCGAGCGTTCAATAACGTTATCACCTTTCAAAGCAGAGAGCGGAATGGCGGTGATGTGTTCAAATGTCAGCTGCGTTGCAAATTCTTCGTAATCGCTGACAATCTGATTGAAAACGGTTTCGTCGTAGTTCACCAGATCCATTTTGTTCACCGCCAGCACAACGTGTTTAATGCCCAGCAGTGACGCAATGAACGAATGCCGCCTGGTCTGGGTCAGCAGCCCCTGAGAGGCATCAACCAGAATCACAGCAACATCCGCAGTAGACGCACCGGTGACCATGTTGCGGGTGTATTGTTCATGCCCGGGAGTGTCCGCGACAATAAATTTGCGGTGATCCGTACTGAAGAAGCGGTAAGCCACATCAATGGTAATACCCTGCTCACGCTCGGCAGACAAGCCGTCTACCAGCAACGCAAAATCGATATCTCCACCCTGGGTACCCTGGCGTTTCGAATCCGCCTGCAGGGACGTCACCTGATCTTCAAAAATCATCTGCGCTTCATAGAGCATGCGGCCAATCAACGTACTTTTGCCGTCATCTACACTACCGCAGGTAATGAAGCGCAGCAGATCAAGATTGGCCTGAGTGTCAATATAGGTCTGAACACGTGCTTCCAACTCTTCAACGCTTAAGGCTATGGCTGTGTCACTCACTAGAAATACCCCTCTTGTTTTTTCTTCTCCATCGAACCGGCGCTGTCGCTATCAATTGCCCGGCCCTGCCGCTCGCTGGTGCGGCTCTGCAACAACTCCAGAACTATGGAAGACAGATTGTCCGCATCGGACTCCACCGCTCCTGTTAAGGGGTAACATCCCAACGTACGGAAGCGCACCCTGCGGGTCTGGATCTCTTCTCCAGGCAGCAGGCGCATGCGATCGTCTTCGACCATGGTGATCATGCCATCACGGACCACCACAGGTCGTTCTGCCGCAAAATAGAGGGGCACAATGGGAATCTGTTCACGATAGATGTACTGCCAGATGTCGAGCTCCGTCCAGTTGGACAGTGGAAACACCCGTATGCTTTCACCCTTGCGCTTGTAGCCGTTGTAAAGGTTCCACAGCTCCGGGCGCTGGTTTTTTGGATCCCAGCGATGGGCTTCGTTGCGGAAGGAAAAGACCCGCTCTTTGGCCCTACTCTTTTCTTCATCGCGGCGCGCGCCACCAAAAGCCACATCAAATTTGTGATGATCCAGCGCCTGCTTGAGACCCTGAGTTTTCATGATGTCCGTGTGTAGCGCACTGCCGTGATCAAACGGATTAATGTTCTTTTCTATGCCTTCAGGATTGATATGAACAATCAGCTCCATGCCGATGTCTTGAGCCATCTGATCACGGAATTCGTACATCGATCTGAATTTCCAGCGGGTATCAATGTGCATCAGAGGAAATGGCGGCGGGCTCGGGTAAAACGCTTTGCGCGCCAGGTGCAACATCACCGCGCTGTCTTTACCCACGCTGTAGAGCATCACCGGGTTCTCTGCCTGAGCCGCCACTTCCCGCATGATATGGATACTTTCAGCCTCAAGCCGGTCCAAATGGGTCAGCTCGTTTTCCGGTCGCGGTGGACTATCCGGATATGGATCCAGTTTCAACGTCGCGGGGTATGCCGTGAGTGCGAGGGTAACTACGTTGTCTGACGGTAGGGTGACCTGATGGGTTTTATCGCGACGCTCCAGCTGACGCACCAGTTTAGTCACCTCACCGTGTGGCCACACCAGAGTGGTTTTGCCTGCGCAGAGCGCATCAAGGGCAGCAGTAAAAGTGTCGAGGGTCAGATCGTCAATGAAGATCCAGCGACGCGCACCACGTCCATCATTACTCATCAGCACCTGACGGCCTTGTGGACCGGTGTGCAGTTGCAGAAACAGCATCGACAGACGCTTCTTTTTCGCCTGAGCTTCGAGGCTCTGCACCACCAGTTGGGTCAGGGGCCGGTTCAATTCGTCATGCAGCAGCTCCAGGGTTAACGGTGCTGGCAACCAGTCCGCTTTCTCCAGTAATCGCTCGGTGGAACGCAACGTCTGATCAGATCCCTCCTCAACCAACAGGTCGTGCAGGCTTTGGGTATCCCAATATCCAGCGTTGGGCAGGTGATTGTAGAGCGCTTGAGGTAAATCCATAAGGCAGACCGTGCTTTGTCGTATTTTGCGAATTCTACATATATTTATATTCTGCGCCAGGATATTAGGCGGATAGTTTGTATATTTTTGTCTATATTGTTTTTTACGACACCTCAGAAGCCCGCCACACAACCCTCTTTGCGATGGTCTGAACCCCCCACATAGCCATCGGAAGTTTTCTGTATCAGCTGAGCACCGCCAAAAGTACTCTCACGCGCATCTGTGATCACACGATGGCCCCGGGCCTGCAAACCCATGGATAATGCCGGGTCCAGGCCAGCCTCAAGCGCCACAGAAAATTTTTCATCGACGTGCCACCGGGGCGCGTCGCTGGCCGCCTGGGGATTCTGACCATGATCAAAAATGCGGGTCACCATCTGCACATGACCCTGGTGCTGCATATGCCCGCCCATCACACCAAAACTCATTTCCGGCGCGCCATCCCGGGTAACAAAACCGGGGATGATGGTATGAAAAGGCCGCTTTCCCGGACCGACGCAATTGGGATGATCAGGATCAAGACTGAACCCGGCGCCGCGATTCTGCAGCGAAATGCCGGTACCGGGTATCACCACACCAGACCCAAACGCCAGGTAATTCGATTGAATGAACGACACCATCATGCCGCTCGCGTCTGCCGTCGTGAGGTATACCGTGTCTGCACTCACCGGCAACGCCACAGGTGGAAGCGGACTCGCCTGATCGCCAATGGAACGCGCCGCCGCTGCAAGCGAGCCAGGTGCCAGCAGCTCCTCCGGCGTCACAGTCATGGCACGGGCATCAGCAAAATGGTCCTGCGCCGCCCGCACCGCAATTTTCATGGCTTCAATCTGGTAATGCAGCCACAGCTCAGAGTCCACCGGCGCAGCCTCCAGGTGCTGCAGAATACCTAAGGCAATCTGTGCAGCCAGCCCCTGACCATTGGGCGGGATTTCATGCAGGACTACACCTTTATAAGGTTGCTGCGTGGGAGTAACCCACAACGCGTCATGCGCCTCAAGGTCCGACTTTCGCAACAAGCCGCCATCTGCCCGTGCTGCTGCATCCATCCTGTCAGCCAGCTCTCCTCGATAAAAATCCTCCCCCTCGCTGGCGGCGATACGCTCCAGCGTGTTTACCAGATCTGGCCGCTTAAAACGCTGCCCAGCCTGCGGCGCAGGCAGAAAGTGGGCACCGAATTCAGGAAAAGCGGCGTAACGCTGCTCCAGCAACTGCCAGTAATAAGCTGACTTCGGACCCACCATAAAGCCATCACGTGCATAACGGATCGCATCAATAAACAGGTCTGCAAACGGTAGCTTGCCGAAGCGTTTTGATAACTTCACCCAGGCGCTGACCGCGCCAGGCACCGTGACACTGTCCCAGCCTAGATCCGGCATCGTGCTGCAACCGGCAAAGTGCTGCAGGTCCCAGGCAGCAGGCGCGCACCCGGATGCGTTCAGACCAACCAGCTCACTGCCATCCCAGAGAATACAGAAGGCATCACTACCAACGCCGTTATTGTTCGGCTCCACCACAGTCAGGGTTATGGCACTGGCCAGCGCCGCGTCCACCGCATTACCGCCACGCATCAGCGCGGCCAGGCCGGCCTGGGTGGCCAGTGGCTGTGACGTAGCGACAAGATTCTCCGCCGCGACGGGTGAACGCTGGGAAGCATAAGGTTGGGCCGGGTTATACATCTAAAACTCCAAAACAGATCTGGCCTCAAACGCCGTTGTTTGCGAGGCTTGCAGGCATGAAAGAAAAAAACACTATACCCCTGTTACCCGAACAACCCGATATCCTGCGCGCCCGGCAAGGCTGGCAGTACACTGGCCAGGCGCGACCCGATTTTGCGGAACCCACCCAGCCCGGACAGGAGTCCGTCTGGGATTATCCCCGCCCACCCGCCATCGTGCCCTGTAAAGGCCGCGTCACCGTTTACGCCGGCGACCAGCTCATAGCAGACACAGTCAAAGCTGTACGCGTCCTGGAAACCGCCGGCGCACCTACCGTATATATTCCGCCAAATGATACAAATACGGACCTGCTGGAATACGGCGAATTGACCTCCATCTGCGAATGGAAAGGTGTTGCGCAGAGCATCACTGCAGCGGGCATAGTGGATGCCGGCTGGCGTTATGCCCAGATGTTTGCAGATTTCAGCAGCCTGTATCTGTGGCCAAGCTTCTATCCAGGGAAACTCAACTGCCGCCTCGACGGTGAAACCGTGCAACCCCAACCCGGCGGATACTATGGCGGCTGGGTGACGGCCAACATCACCGGCCCGATCAAAGGTGTGCCGGGCAGCCAGGGCTGGTAGGCGCGCTTATGCACAGTTCCATTGGCACAGGACTCATTATTATCGGCGCCGTCCTCATTGTGATAGGACTCGTTGCTAAATCTGGCGTGATCAGCTGGTTTGGCCATCTGCCGGGCGATTTCCATATAAAAACCGAGAACATGCAGTTTTTCTTTCCGCTGGCGTCAATGATTGTGGTGTCAGTTATCCTCTCTCTCCTGATCGCGCTGCTGCGCAGATTTCTTTGACGGCATCCAGAATTTAGCAAGCTTAAATTGTACATATCTTAGACATCAATCAATTTTCTGGTTTAGAATCCCTTCCGTCCTCGATTAGTCCATAACCTGGAACAGTGATTATGCCGGAAGGCCCCGAAATCCGCCGTGCAGCCCAACGCATCGACAAAGTATTAAACGGCCAGGTTGCCCAGGCTGTGGTTTTTGGACAGCCACACCTGCAATCCTGGGCCCAGACATTCACCGGCGCCCGCGTGCTTGGGGTCAGCAGCCGCAGCAAAGCCATGCTGACTCAATTTGACAATGGCTATACCGTCTATACCCACAATCAACTCTACGGGCGCTGGTTTGTGACCCGCCGCGGTCGTACACCCAATACCCAGCGCAGCCTGCGTTTTGCCATCAGCACTGACCGCCACGATGCACTTCTGTATTCAGCATCCGACATTCACGTTCTGGCCGACGACGCGGTGGCCGACCACCCTTACATCGCCAGGCTGGGCCCCGAGGCCCTGGACCCTGATACCAGCTGGCAGATGATCTACGCTCAACTTGTGGCACCTCAATATCGACGCAGACGCCTGTCTGCACTGTATCTGGACCAGAGCTTCCTGGCCGGCATCGGCAACTATCTGCGCACAGAAATTCTGCATGATTGTGGACTGCATCCGGAATCTCGCCCCATGGACCTGAGCCGCAAACAGCTTGGCCAGCTGGCTCGCGCCAGCTTGAAGATTACCCAGCGCGCCTTTGACACCGCCGGCGTGACCAACCTGCCCAGTCGTGTTAAACGCCTGCAGGCTGCTGGCAGCAAACGTTCCGGCTATCGCTTCAGTGCTTTTGCGCGAGCCGGGCGACCCTGTTATACCTGTGAGACACCCATCGAGAGAATCACCGCAGGCTCTCGTCGCCTGTACCTGTGCCCAACCTGCCAACCCAGGAACCCGGAGTAACACTGTGCCCAAGCCATCGCCTCAATCGGGAACACCCGCGGACCCTGAACGAACCTCCCCCGAGCGCCTCAAGCGCTGGGCGGTCAACCTTGGCTATGCCGGCGTTATCCCTGTTTACAGCCTGCTGGCAGCCGCGTGGTTGCAGCCGCAACTGCAAACGCTGACAACCCGGGTGGGCACTATTTACGTGGCAACCATTGTCTGCTTTCTAGGCGGTATCCAATGGGGCTTCGCCCTGCACAGCGTCTCTGAACATGCACGCATTCGACGGATTTTTGTCAGCATTGTGCCCAGCTTATGGGCAATGACGGCGCTGCTGTTACCTGCAAAACTCAGCATCGTTGCGCTGATTGTTGGCCTGGGCATGATCCTGACTTACGAGATCATGGAGCGGGAAGACGACGTCTATCCTGCCTGGTACATCCCCTTACGCATCCGCCTGACAACTCTACTGGTGATCGGTATCGGGGCCTTCGCTCTGCTGCCGGCGGCATAGATGCAAAGTATCGCGATCATCGGCGCAGGTGTGACGGGCAGCGTCGCCGCGCACAGGTTGCGCAACCTGGGTTATTCAATCACGGTATTTGATAAGAGTCGGGGTGTTGGCGGGCGTATGGCTACGCGCAGATCTACCGCGGGTGAATTTGACCATGGTGCTCGCTACTTCACCGCGCAGACCAATGAATTTGTGCAGGCATTATCCTCAGCGCCCGTGCAAGTCTGGCAGGAAGCTGACAAACACCACAAAGCCAGTTGCTATGTTGCCGCACCAGGACAGAATCAGCTGGCTAAATACTGGTTGGATGACACCCCGACGCAACTGAACTGCAGAATCGATCAACTGCGACATACTTCTGCTGGCTGGCAACTGATCGATGATAAAACCCAAACGTTTGAACATTTTGACGGCGTGTTGCTGGCGATCCCGGCACCCCAGGCACGCGACCTGCTGGACAATTCAGGGTTAGGCATTCCTGGGTTACTGGCACCGGTCAGCATGGATCCCGTCTGGGCTTTGATGGTCAGCCTGGAAAGACCGTTAACGCAGACAACCTACACGGACCTCGACCCCTGCATAAGCTGGCTCGGCGCAAACTTCAGCAAACCCGGTCGCCCCCATCCGACAAACGGCTTTGCCTATGTTGCCCACGCCAACTGTGACTGGAGTCGAAGACACTTAGAGGATGACGCAGCGGATGTTACTGAGATGATGCGGCAGACATTGACGGACTGTGTTACTGATTTCTCTGCCCCGATGTTTAGCAGCGCTCACCGCTGGCAGTTTGCGTTAACACAAACACCGCTGGGGCAATCGCATCTGGCGCTGGATAACCATCTGATTCTGGCTGGTGACTGGTGTCTCGGCGCAGAGGTTGAGGACGCTTTCACCAGCGGCACCCAGGCAGCGCTAAAGATGCATCTGGACCTGGACCGCTGACCTCTGCAACCGGCCCATGCAGAACCGAGTCCTAAGACCCCTCTTCAGTTGGCCGCAACAGCTCAGCCATAAACGGTTTATGCTCGATGACCTCTGCCTCAGTGAGGCCATTCAATTCGTAAGGTAACACCAGCCACTGACTGGTTTTGTGCAGGAAGTAATCCGGTTTCGGACCCACACCTTCATCCTGAGGACGCCACCAGAGCGTAGCAACGCGAATATCGGTCGGCAAATTACGCTTCAGACCTTTTGCCAACGCATCCACAACCGCCTGGGTGTGCCTGCCACTGCTGAAAACATCATCCACAATCAGTAACCGGTCTTCTGCGTTCAGGTTTTCTAACAGATATTGTTTACCGTGGACACGCAACGGCGCTTTCTGGGCAGCCATCAGTTCATATTGCGCCCGCCCCTGGTAAGAGGTGCGCAGCGCAATATGATCCGTTTCAATGCCCAGCGTCGCGAGACACTCCTGCACCACCAGGCCCACCGCGCTGCCGCCCCGCCACAGGCCGACGATAAACGTTGGACGAAAGCCACTGGTATAAATCTGCTCACCAAGACGGTAGCCATCCAGGATCTGCTCATCTTCAGTAACAAATATTTTATCTTGAGTGCTGATGGGGCTCTGCTTGTACAGGGGAGCCTGGCATACTAAGAAAAATCCACGGGTAAAACATCTACATTGAGCGAAAAAACCTACCTCGACGCCCAGACCCTGCTGGAAGACTCTTTCCGCCTGGCATCGCGCATCTACGACAGCGGTTTCCGCCCCACCTTCATTGTTGCCGTCTGGCGCGGCGGCGCACCCATCGGCATAGCGGTACAGGAATATTTTGCCTACCAGGGTGTCGACAGCGACCATATCTCAATACGCACCAGCGCCTATACCGGCATCGACAATCGTGCACGGACTGTTGCCGTGTATGGCTTAAGCTATCTGATCAAAAAACTCACACGGGAAGACAGCCTGTTGATTGTGGATGACGTGTTTGACACGGGTCACACCATTGCCGCCATTATCGACAACATTGAAAAAAAGCTGCGTAAAAACACACCTGCAGATATTCGCGTCGCGGTGCCGTATTACAAACCCACCCGCAATGAAACTGCACTGGTACCCGATTACTACCTGCACGAAACCACAGCCTGGCTGAAGTACCCCCACTCCCTGGAAGGTTTAAGTCTTGAAGAAATCAAAACCCATCGCCCAGGCATCTACAACATCATTGGCAAACATCTGGAAGCCCTGCAGAAACCGGACACCTAGTCATGCACACCACCGACCAGCACATCCTTATTGAGGCGCTGCAGAATCCGTCTCTGTTTGCACATACAACGGATGATATGGCGCTCATCGAGACACACATTTCCTGGGTCCTTTTATGCGGCCCCTATGCCTACAAAATTAAAAAAGCGCTGGATCTTGGCTTCCTTGATTTTACAACCCTGGAGAAACGCGCCTTTTACTGCAGCGAAGAATTGCGCTTGAACGGCAGACTGGCACCGCAGCTTTATCTCGAGGTTGTACCGATCTGCGGGAGCCCACAACACCCGCAGATAAAGGGCAGCGGCGAAGCGATAGAGTATGCGGTGAAAATGCGCCGCTTTTCCCAGGAAGGGCTGCTCAGCGATATGGTCCGCGATGACCGCCTCACAATGACCCATATCGACCAGATCATCGCTCAGGTGGCGCAGTTTCATATGGACATTCCCACCGCGCCCCAGGCAAGCCCTTACGGCACACCACAGCACGTTCACGCCCCGGTACTGGAGAACTTTGCACACATTCTGCAGGGCAACTGCTCACCGGCCCATGTCCAGCAGGTTGGCGAGATACAGACATGGGCGGAAGGCGAATACCAACGCTGGCTGCGACAATTTGACGCACGCAAACAACAGGGCTTCATTCGCGAGTGCCACGGCGATATGCACCTGGGCAACATGGCGGTAATTGATGACCTGCCAGTGATTTTCGACGGCATCGAGTTCAATCCCGATCTGTATTGGATCGACGTCATGTGTGAAATCGGTTTTCTGCTGATGGACCTCGAGGACTACGGCAAACCACAGCATGCGTACCGCTTCCTGAACGGCTACCTGGAAGTCACCGGTGATTATGCAGGCGTCCAGGTGCTCACCTACTACAAGGCATACCGCGCTGCCGTGCGCGCCAAGATCGCCAGCATACGCCTCTCACAGGAACTTACCGAAGCGGAGCATGGTGAAGCGCTTGCACATTTTGAACGCTATCTGGCGCTTGCGGTGGGCTATACACAGCCACAACACCCGATCCTGCTCATCACCCACGGCCTGTCCGGCAGCGGTAAATCTACTCTGTCAGCACCGCTGGCTGAATGCATGGGTGCCATCCGTATTCGCTCTGACCGCGAGCGACAGCGCCTGTTTGGAAGAAGCTCATCGAATGACAAAACAACAAACATCGACACTGGTATCTATGCGTCTGATGCAAGCGCTCAGACGTATCAGAGGTTAGCCGAATTAGCCGGCGTCATTCTAGCCGCGGGATATCCCGTGATTATTGATGCCACGTTCCTCGAGAAATCCCAGCGGGATCAGTTCCATGAGTTAGCAGAGGGATTGTCCGTTCCGATGCGCATTTTACACTTCCACGCAGAACCTGAGACCCTTAAACAACGTGTTAGCGCGCGTCAGAGTGAAGGTTCCGACATCTCCGAAGCCGACCTGGTTGTGCTCGAACATCAGCTCGACACCTATCAGCCCATGGCGGCTGATGAAAAGCGCAGAACGGTTTTCATTGATACCGAACAGTCCCAAAGCAGCGAACAGTTACAGGCCAGCATCACACAGACTCTGCCTGCAACCACATAGATTAGCATCAGGCGCCTGGCCGCGGCGGTTTGCCAACTCAGAGGAAACCACGCACCGGCAGATCTTCACCCCGCTGTATCCAGTTTGTCACTGGATAATCCGCTTCACCATCGACAACATGTAAGGTATATGCGTGGCGCGCCTTGTCTGATGTGTTTGGCCCACTATAGTGCGGCAAGGTGCCTGAAAAGCAGACCAGCGTGCCGGCTTTCACCTCCAGAGGCTTGGCCTGCTGCAGATCGGGCCAGGGCGTCCGGTCAAGTCGCCGTGTTCGCGGACGGCCATCAACCACTTCAAACACTTCACGCAGCGGCGTATCTGAACCCGCATCTGCAACCCACAAACACCCGTTCTGCAGAGTTGCGTCGTCAATGGCAAACCACAGGGTCTTTACACTCTGGGGTTGGGTATAGAAATAGGTGGCATCCTGATGCCAGCCCACTTCACCGCCAATCTGCGGTTGTTTGAAAATATACATCGACTGCCAGACATGAGGGGTTTGTACGCCAACCTCATGCATCAAGGTGGTCAGGCGCGGATCAGCGGAAAAGCGGCGGAAGGCCGGAATACGATCGTGCATGGCATGACCCAGCTTATTCACCGATAACTGTTTATCCACCCGCAACTGACCATTTTCATCAGCGGCCCCGGATTCCAGAAAGCAGCGCACCTGATCGCCAGAGGTGAGGAAGTACTCACCCAGAGCGGCTGCTTCAGCTGTGGTTGAGAAAACATGCTGGTGCGACGAAAAATCAAAGCCCTCAATAACGTCCTGGGCTGCCTGGCGCAGACCTGCAAGCGCCTCTGGTGATTTGAAATTCTCCAGCACAACATACCCCTGCTCGGAGAATTGTTGCTGTTGGTCCTGTGTTAACACCGCTGCTGTCATGTTTTATTTTCCTTGTTCACTGGGCTCGCAGGTTTAAAAGAACAGGCTGGCGATGGTGGCTGTCATCAATGTCACGAGGGTGCCACCGATCATGCATCGCAGTGCAGTGTGGGCGATGTCATCACGTCGCTCGGGCACCAGCGCACCAATACCGCCTACCTGCACTCCGATAGACACAAAGCTGCTGAATCCACACAGGGCAAAAGTGGCCACTGCTCTGGAGCGATCGGATATCTGATCACCTAACGTCTGCAGTTCGGTATAGGCCAGAAATTCAGTCAGAAATATCTTCATCCCCAACAGGTTGCCTATTTTTGCGGCATCAGCAAGGTCCGCGCCAATCAGTACTGCAAAAGGATAAAACACCCAACCAAACACACGCTGCAATGTTAACGGTTCACCCAGTACATCTGGCGCAAGACCCATGAGCCAGTTGAGCAGCGCCACCATAGAGACAAAGGCAATCAACATGGCCACTACATTGGCCGCCAGAATCAGACCATCTGATGCGCCTTTAGTCATGGCTTGAAACATATTCACTGAGTCAGACGGCAGATTTACAACTTCTTTGCCCATCGTTACGGGATTTTCGGTTTCCGGCACCATGATCTTGGCCACCACCAGCGCGCCGGGTGCAGCCATCAGCGATGCAGTAATCAGGTAACCCGCATCCGCTCCAAGTCCAATATACACCGCCAGCATGCCGCCGCTTATGGTTGCCATTCCAGCCGTCATCATCGCCATGATTTCCGAGCGGGTCATACCCGCGATATACGGCTTAATGATGAGTGGCGCTTCGGTGTTACCAATAAAGACGTTAGCGCACGCAGTCAGCGATTCCGCACCTGACACAGGCAGCAGTTTACGAATGCCCGCCGCCATACCTTTCACAATCCATTGCACGATGCCGAAGTGGTACAGCAATGACATGAGCAGGGAAAAGAAGATGATGGTGGCCGGAATCGAAAACGCGATGAAATGTTCCTGGTAACCAGTACCAAAAACAAATTCTGCGCCGGCGGCAGAAGAGGCCACCACCTGTGTGACGCCATCACTTATGGCACGTAACACCTGCTGACCAATGGAGGACCCTAACACCAGCAGCGCAAACGTGAATTGCATGGCCAGTCCGATAAATACCAGGCGCCAGGGCACACGCGCACGGTTATCAGACATCAGCCAGCAGATAAACAGGATGACAACAACCGCGATTGGCACCCGAATGAAATCCATCACAATACAATGTCCAGTGGCTGGGTCTGCTCGGTTTCCAATACCCGGTAGTGTTCAGGTTGGAACCTTGGCGTACAGACACATAAAAAATTAAGATCTTCTTCGAGCACGTTTCGAATGCGCTGGGCAACACCCGCAGGAATGATAACAACATCCCCAACGTTAACGAGGAAGGTCTCGGATTCGGCCAGCTCCATCACCCCTCGGCCCTGCACGATGATATAACGCTCTTCCACCGTCAGACTGTGTAACTGGGTAGTGACCCCCGGGGCCACGGTACACAGCGCCAATGAAACCGCAGCGGCTTCCGGGGTATTCATATACTCGCTGATGTAACAACGTTCCTGGGTATAGAAGCGCTCAGCCATCTGACCCTGCGATGCCGCCGGCACCAGACCTGCAAAATCCCCCATATCCTACCCGTACCTTAAAACTATAAACTGGATTCTACGCACACTCGCAAGCTGACAACATAGGAAACCTCATGACCCCATCCGTAGACAAGCTACTCGACCTGACGGGACAGTGTGTACTGATCACCGGCGCGGCGGGCACCATTGGGCACGCTACCGCTGCCCGCCTGGTGGAAGCTGGCGCAACCGTTGTGCTACACCATCGCACCAGGTCACCGGACTTTGAGTCGCTGCTGACAACCCTGGGGGCAAAGGCCATCGCCGTCCGCGCTGACCTGACAGATGCAGACCAGATTAATCAAATGCTGGACACAATCGACAGCCAGAAGATGACGCTCACTGCCCTGGTCAACAACGCTGCTGATCAGTCAATTGCCGGGCTGGCGGAGCTTTCGCTTGAACAGTGGCAGCACACAACGCAAACCAATCTGGATGCTGTGTTTTACTTAACCCAACAAGCCTGTGCCCGCTTTCCAGTAACCCGGGTTGTGAATATATCGTCCATTGAAGGCAGCGATGGCGCGCCCGGTCACGGCCACTATGCCACCAGCAAAGCCGGTGTGAACATGTTGACCCGCAGTTTTGCACTGGAATACGGTGGGCAGAATGTGCGTTGTAATACCATCTCCCCTGGACTTGTGCATCGTGACGGCATTGAGCAATCCTGGCCCGAAGGTGTGCAACGCTGGCAGCAGAAGGCCCCCCTGAAACGCCTCGGTCAGGGGGATGATATTGCAGACGCAGCTTTGTTCCTGCTCAGCGAGGCTTCGCGCTGGATCAGCGGGGCCAATCTGGTGGTTGATGGTGGTATGAGCTGCCAGACACGCTGGTAGACCGGGGATGCACGACACAGCGCGCAAGCGGCACACCTGCTTAAGCTTTTCGTCTGTATCGACAAACGTGTAGGATGACTTCCGTTCAAACTGAAGCAAAACCAAAGGATATGTTATGCACCACCTTGTTTCCTGTGTCGTTATCACGCTGGCGCTGAGCCTCAGCGCAGGATCTGCTTTCGCAGACGTCGAAGAAAAACTGAAAGCCGCCATCGCCAGTGACAGCCGCAGCGACGCGGAAAAAGCCCGGGATGCCAATCGCAAACCACTTGAAACGCTCAAGTTCTTCGGTCTAGAAGAAGATATGCGCGTGCTCGAACTGCTCCCTGGAGGCGGTTGGTACAGCAAAATCCTCGCCCCCACCCTGGCGGAGAAAGGTCAGCTGCTGGTGGCTATCGGCACGCAGAATGTTGCCGCTCAGATCGAAGCTGGCACCTTAACCGATGTTGAAGTGCTGGACGTCGATATGTCTTCGTTTTCACGCCCGGAAGGCAGCCGCCGCTTCGCCCTCAGTGCCATGACCCTGGATACCAAGGACATCGACCTGGTGTTAACGTTCCGCAACCTGCACAATCTGACTGAAGACACCCGCGACATTCTCAACAAAGAAGTTTTCCGCGTGCTCAAGTCTGGAGGGTTATATGGTGTTGTAGATCACACCCGACGCCACATGCAGAGTGATAACAGTGAAAACTGGCGTCGTATGGACCCGGTGCAGGCCATCAAGGAAATTGAAGCCGCTGGCTTTGAGTTTGTCGACTATTCCGACCTTCACTACCGCTACGATGACGAGCTGATTTACGAAGTGGGTCGTCGCAGCGTCAGCGGTAATACCGACCGTTTCACCCTGCTGTTCCGCAAGCCCTGACACAGCACGCCCATCAACTGCAGTAGGCCGTGGTTTAACCCAGGTCTACTGCATGCCAGTGTTCGGCGATGCCGTATCCGGTTTGTCCGTTCCAGCTGAATTCTGCCAGACCTTCGTTTACAAAGGTGGCGCCACCGGGCATCGCAATCTTGGTCGGGCACACATTTAACACCCGACCTTCGATCTCAACCTTCTCTCCAGTGCTTGTGCTGGCCTGTAAAAAAACGCCGGTATGCAGAATTGAATCTTCCTGGTAAGTCGACTCAATAACCACGTCGACCAGATCAACGGTCTCGCCACCGCGCTGCAACCAGCCCGCGCCTCTCATCTGACCGTCAGCATCTCTGAAGCAGGAACCGCCCAGAGCAGCATCCGCACCAAAATTCATCGAAAACCAGTTCACAAAAGGCGTTGGTTCCTGGGTTGGTGGAACCTCTCCAGATTTTTCTGCAGGTGCTTCAGAACGATTGCCGCCCCCCCAATCCCGGGGACCCCAGCTCTTATCGCGCACACCATACCCCTGCACTTCCCAGGTCTCGTTCTCGAGTTTGATCTGACCCGTCACGCGCCCACTCTGTTCAAAGTGGCCATGCGCCCCTCGCGCCGCGAAGTGAGGCTGGGTCAGGCAGTCAAAGGTGAGGTCCATCTGCAGGGTCGCCGGCACAAA